CCCCCCCCCCAAAAAAAAAAACAATAAGAGGATGACAAAAAAAGAGACAAGTACCTTGTGGGACACTCCATGACTCAAAAAGAGCATTCAAAATCAAATGAGCGACTGGATCAGAGATAATGTGAAAGTTCAGCGGATTTTTACGATAAAAGAGAATGCTTTTGATGAGAGTCACAACAGATCTACTTGAGTTGTATCCAGCACATACTATGGCAACATGGATTACTTCACACTTGGGAATTTCTGGATCCTGCAAAAACAGAAAATATCATTCTATTGGAGGTTAAAATTACCGTAGGTATCAATAAAGAAAAAACCTAGGAACAGATACAGAGGAAAAAATAGAAAGAAGGGGGAAAAATTTGTATGCAGAAGAGGTATACAGTTGGTCATAGAAATGAATTGCGATATAGGGAGCAATTCTTTAGTTGTAGACAAATTCTATTTTTAATTCTTTGAATAACATAATTTTTTTGTCTACTGTCATATGGCAGGCAGGCTACTGTCGTATAGCACTTGCTAGTATATCAAAACACTTTTAAAACCGATTCATGTTTATGTAAACCTCAAATGTTTCAGATGACTTTTTTACTGATACAGCAGTAAGCTACACTGATGCGGAGCTGTGTACAAAGGGGAGGGGGGCACATAAGGGATAGAAGCGAGAAATTAACAAGGGGAACTTACGGACCTGCCGCCTCCGATTGGGCTGAATTTTTTTTTACAGACTCTATGGACCAATTCTAGAGGTCAATTTGAGCCGTTTTCCCGAATGCGCAATAGGAAGGACGTAAAAAATTCCCAAAAGTTGCGTTTTCGGCGTGTGATTTGGTCGTGCGGCGTGTGGCAACACTGAAGCAGCCTCTAGTACCGCTTTATCGGCCTGAAGGTTTCAGCGGAGTCCGGAGCCCTACTGCACACGTACTGGTTCCATGATAGTGATGTCCCGGGTTCGATCCTCGACTTTTTATTTTCCGCATGATCAAGTAACATTTTATTTTTAATTCTTCATCCGCATTTATAAATCAAGCAGTTCCGATCACTATCCCCCCCCTCCCTCATTTTACGTACATTTTCCCCCGATATTTATTCACATTGGCCACATATAATCGTATGAAACTTCATTGATATAAATTAATGAATTAAAAAGCAAAAAAAACCTTATTTGTTACTACATTATCTTCAAATGTTTTCCTGGAAAAATATGTAATGTGTAAATAAATCGAAGAGCAACCTCAAACCCATGTGCATGCAAGGGTCACCAAGAAACAAATTATTTTAGCCCTTTGCTTTTTAATTCATTAATTTATATCAATGAAGTTTCATACGATTATATGTGGCCAATGTGAATAAATATCGGGGGAAAATGTACGTAAAATGAGGGAGGGGGGGGGATAGTGATCGGAACTGCTTGATTTATAAATGCGGATGAAGAATTAAAAATAAAATGTTACGTGATCATGCGGAAAATAAAAAGTCGAGGATCGAACCCGGGACATTACTATCATGGAACCAGTACGTGTGCAGTAGGGCTCCGGACTCCGCTGAAACCTTCAGGCCGATAAAGCGGTACTAGAGGCTGCTTCAGTGTTGCCACGCGCCGCACGACCAAATCACACGCCGAAAACGCAACTTTTGGGAATTTTTTACGCCCTTCCTATTGCGCATTCGGGAAAACGGCTCAAATTGACCTCTAGAATTGGTCCATAGAGTCTGTAAAAAAAAATTCAGCCCAATCGGAGGCGGCAGGTCCGTAAGTTCCCCTTGTAAGCCCCATCCTAACCTTCAAACCACCTGAAACATCTACAAGTCATGATTCATTTATGAGTAGGAGTTCTCCTTTTTTAATACTTTTTTCTTTCTCTGTGTATCTAAGAGGTAGATATTACAGTTAAAAAGCCTAAGTGCACTGCCTTGTGACAACTCGGTTGAAATAAATAACTGACAGAAAAAAACGGGAGGGATGAAAGGGGGGGGGGGGCAAATGCCGAAATGGAGGTATCACTGTTTTTAGGCATTTGTACCCTTGTTTCTTCACTGACATCTTCAAAAGTTTAAAACAAATTTAATAAAATTTCATGCAAATTTTCATGGGATTTTTCATTTCTACCTGGTTCTACCACCCCTTGTTACAGATTTATTCTATGGTTGTAAAAATGGGAGCAAGCACGTGTAACACAGTGTGTTGGTACCTGCTACTTGTTTTTCATTTTTGCTAAAATACCTAAGCTAGATATCATACGTAATCGCTGAGGGTGTATTGAATTACAGTTTGACCGTAAATAAACCCTAGTACAGATAAAATTAAGGAGAGAATCAGGGTCTTAAAAACTACAAAAATCTTGTCAACAGAAGAGAGGCAGCTCATCATGCATGAACATCCTTTACAGAATGCAAATCACAGCAAAAAAAAAGTTATACATACTGGTTTTCCAGTACAAGCAACATTTGAAAGTGGCGGAGCAGTGCGCTCTGGTAGTGCCAGTTGTTCTTGAAGAGCTTTCAGCTGTTCTTCCAACTCATGCAATCTAGCGTCTCTGCTGTGTCTGTCAATATTTGAAGCCCATTCCACTGAAAATGAAAATTCTAGATGAGCTCGTTTGACTTGTGTTATTTAAAACTAACTTCAATTCCATAAATGATAACTCATTAACTGGTCGCAGCACTATGATCCAACTTTAAACATGAATGAGAACAAAACTAACTTTTGAATAAGAGACAGCGTTTTTGAGCATCGACGAAGAGAGCTCCCAAGCCCAAAAAAAGCTCTCAAGTTGAGGCAAAAATGGAGGGGATATCCCACGCTATCCTGAGAGTCCATGTCTACATTAAGACAAACTCTCCATGCAAAGATAGGGAGCAAATACATTGACAGGGCTGCCACTTCATTTGGGGACTCTAAAACTGAAAAAACGGCATCACTGCTAATGTATTTTCTCCTTATCTTTGCATGGAGAGTTTGTCTTGATGTAAAGGTGGACTCTCAGGATAACGTGGGATATCCCCTCCAATTTTGCCTCAACTTGAAAGCTTTTTTTGAGCTTGGGAGATGATTTCAGAGAAAACCAGTGGCACCATCGTGTTTTTTGCAATAATTTTACAAAAGAATCAACAGTCAAATCACAAATTCCTCACACATGCAACATCTCCATTTTGGTGCGCTACAGCTGTAGTAATGGCATCCAATCTGAGTCCCCGCCAGGTACATGTACACACTTTGACGCTGCGATAGCAGATTGTCTGATGTTACTATAGCAAGGGAAGTAAATGTAAGAAGTTTAAAAGAGCGTGACTTATTTGGCATGGACGCTACATGTATACTTGCTTTGATTCCATTTAAATTGGTGAGAGTTGCCTGTGTTGGCAAGTTGAAACTGCCCTTGGTAGTATTAAGTACTTGGACTTTTTTCATGATACAAGTTGATGAGTGGCCTGGTCACCTTGTTACTTCATAATCATCCGACCAGAAGGGGTTGAGCAACAAAGGTAATTTTTTCTTCCTCCTCTTACAGATGGTTGATCCCGACAAATTTTATTCATAACAGAAATATTTTAGTAAAAACTCTAAATTGGGATGCAAAATATACTCACAGTTATAGCTGAGGAAAACGGCATAGAAAAATAACGTGGCAACGATGGCACCAAAGACAAAGCTGCCTAACCAGTGTCTCGTGAAAACTGACACCACTCCATTCCTGCTTCTTTTACGAGATATTCTGCTTGCAAAGGAAAACCCTGAAGTTCAAGAATTGGTTAGTTTAGATGCCTTCATAATAATCTATAACCTTGCATGTCTCTTGATAAGTATTCAGAGACCAGGACAATGGACATTATTGTATTGGGCCCTTGGCTCAACTATACTAGAGCAAGGCGGATAAAGAATGGTGGTCGCATTTCGTACCCTCTGGACGTCACACGGTATCGGGTACATGGGCCGGCCGCAGTGGCGTAACGGGCGGCCCCGCAGACCCTGCTATGCAGGGGGGCCCATTCGGCCGCCGGAATTTTTTCCCTCTCTCTCTTTGATGCTCAGATGTGGTTTCAAACTTTGGGCCTTTACTTGCCGAGATGGGGCTTCTTCCTCTGATTTTTATTGTTATAGCTCGGGGTTTTTCATACTTCTCTTGGGCTGTTCCTAACTTTTTGTTTGCTGGAGGGCCCCTGCCTTCCCATGTCCACTCAATGATTCCTAAATAATTTTCTCTTCTTTTGTCACTTTTCGTATTTCGGATTTTGGGAGGCCCAAGAAAAAGCCTTGGGGGCCCTTTGATTCTTGGGCCTGGGCTGAGCCTCCGACTTCCTTTAGATCCTTGATCCTTTAGGAGCTCCATTTAATCGGGTACTTTTACGTTTTATTTTTTTTTTTAAATTTATTTATTTGCGCAAACATGCAAGTGAATCAAATTCCACCTCAGAACATAATGTAAAAGTAGGCTAAATCCTTCACATAAAATACCTACCTAAAGGTAAAAAGATATAAGCTATACTGCCATTTTGATTTTTTAGTGGTTAAGGCTGATTTTCTCAAAAATTTTCGTGCTGCGGGCCTAGACCATAAAAGAAAAAACGGGAAGGGGTGAGGGAGGGAGAGGGGGGATAATTTTGGAATTATATCGACATGGGGGGCCCCTAGAAAAAATTTTGCGGGGGGGGCCAGCGGAAGTCCGTTACGCCACTGGCCGGCCGAGGCCGGGGGAGCCGGCTCAACCTCAAATTGCATGGCAAAAACCGTACCCTCTTGACGTCACAGCGCTTCAAGATGGCAGCCAAAATCGAAATGCAACCACCATTCTTTATCCGCCTTGATACTAGAGTACCAATATGGCGAGAGTATGGACAGATCGCTTCATGGAGGGCTTAGGGCCCAAAAGTGCAACCACCCTTCCAACCAGCTTCTAAGGCAAAAAATTTCACTGCCAGTCTGCAGATTCCAATTCTAACCAAGATGGCTAAGAATGTGCATAAATGAGCTTTCTTCCGCAAAAATGAGTAAATTTATGTAATAACTAAGTCAAATACATGCTTTATAAACGATGGTTTGTGACAATTGTATTAGTAAATCGCTCTGGATAGTTGAAATTCATAGGTTGGCTGCATTTCTGGGCCCTGACTTTATTCGCGGAGGCATCGGTGAAGACCTGATGGATTTTTGGAGTTTCAAATCTGTCTACACTCTCGTTATACAGGTACTCTAAACTATACCTCTCAGTCGCCCTAACACTGTGTTATTTTAGGCAATGTCTCTGGGCAATAAATAAGAAAAAAGGAGCAAACTGTAACTATCTGCCATGTGAAATAATTTTGAAACACCTGTTTTCTGTGTCAAAGAGGAGATTAGCAAGGTCCAACTTCTTGGGGAGCTTTAGGAACAGAAACGAATAAGTTTATTACGACAGCATGACTTACATGACACAGTAATTAGTGGCAACAAAAGTGAACTTTGAAGTTACATGGTCACTTCATTTCCAGTGCTGATTGCGTAGAAATTATATATAAAATCGGAAATATCATTAGCAACTCTGTAACTAAAACTTCTGTGAATGAATACTTGTCTAAATAAGTGTAAACAAAAAATTCATGAGAACTTAGACAAAACTAACCTCAAAAATAGAGCATAAAGCCGGCCAATCGGAGGCAAGTTCAAGTCCTTGTCCCCTGATTGGTCCAAAATTATCGTTGGCGGGTAAAAAGCTCCCAAATAATGGAAAGTTGAATTCGTCATTATCGCGTAAACTAGGCGTAAACGAGTGAGAGTTTTTAATATTTTCAAAATATTTCGATTTCATTACACCTTTGTAAAACCAGATTAAAAGCCGATATCAATGAGAAGAGCAAGAGTCCCGAATCAATCTCGAGACAATTAATTTGAACGACTTTTCAAATCTTCCCGCATTCCTCTGTTACCCCTTTTTACCAACCCTAAGAAAATCAACTAGATTACCAATAGTTTCGATTGTCACAATTATGAGAAAAATCAAGAATATACAGAGTAAATGAACGTTTATATTTTTAAAAACCTTTAATTTACTTCAAAATCTTACTCCTTAAAATTTAATTGACCAGTATAACATAGTCACAAGATGTTAATATTATCTGAGGACAGAATAATTGGATTGCTTCTGTTGGCTAAGTACCCTCGTTTTAAATTTCAAAGTCAAAAACAAAAAATACCGTTGAACTTTCGTTACATACAGCGCGTGTTTCAGATTGTAGATACTAGATTTCAGATAAGATTTTTCCACTGGTTTTCCAAGAATTTCGCTCCTTAATCACTGTCAAATCTAATCTTAATCAATATATTGATATATGCTATTGTGAATCAATAATTTCTTGCTCCATCCATCATAGTTGCCTGTTATGACTAGTCTAATGGGATAAAGTTCTCAGTGTCTTCTATCATTGTATTTGCTCTGAATGATTCGCACAAACATGTTACTGTTCAGCCCTTTCATGTAGTTGTATGTCTCCATTTCGACAGGTAAAAGCTCATAGAATAATGCTTTCACTCTTCATCTCAATTTCTTCTTTGTTACTTAAGCCTTCTCTGCTTACAATGTGCTAGGCATGAAACATGACCAAGAACTTCAATGCGTAAGTCCACTGATCTCAGTTTCATCAGTGCAATTGTAGGCAAGAACTTTTCTTTAAGCTCAATTCACACTATCAAACTTTTCATCCGACTTAATTGAACAGGAAGTATGACGCAAACAAATTTGATTCAATTACCGTTACAGTGTGATATTATCATCAGCTTGAGGTTCGCAAAGATACAGCTTTGGGTCATGTCAGTTGGAAGATTTCCTTCCAACTTTTATGATGTTGAATGGGGAAAGTTAAATGTTGACGTTACATCCGAGTTTTCGTTCTATTTTTCATCTAATAGCCATTTTCTCTCGTCAGTATCACACCATCCAACTTATATTCGACAAGTTGCGTCTAAGAGTTGAATGGAAAGTTTGATAGTGTGAATCGGACTTTACAAAGCCAGGTTTATCGGATTAAAGCAGAAAACTAAAGACACATTCACACTGAATCGAAAAAATAATACCATTTGCAAGCATGTAGAGTTGACAAAACTTGTCTTTTCTAAGTAGTATTTAATAATACTATAGTGTGCTTAGGTAGAAATATTATTCCCAAAGCATTGAAGACTACCATTTGACTTAGTCATTAACTGTGTTTCAAGACTTAACATGGGACAAACATTTCATTAGCTCCGACAAAACTCTTCAATATCCGCACAGAAACCTGTGTATTGGGACTGTCCTAGAGCTCGCGCATAGTATGCGGAGACAAATGTCAAATTATTGTTCATTTCACCATTCACCGGTGGTGCCACCTGACTACATGTATTAAGCTGTTGAGTGGTACGAATTCAGAGCTAATCGGAGATTGACATTTGTCTCAACATACGATGCGCGAGCTCTATCTATCTTGAGTCTTACCCATATCTTTGATTCATTAATGGTACCAATTTTTTCCTCTGACTGGGCTGATTTCTCATGCTCAAAAATCGGATTTTCAGTGGAGAAAAATTCTGACAGTTCATCTGGGGAAGGAACTATCCAATACAAGTAGTGCACCAAAAGTCAAGAACTGAATATTTCTGGGTGCCTTTGATCTGCATGGTTACCTGGAATATACAATATTCCTGTCTTTATTGTCCCTTCCTTCCGTTTCTTTACCTGTCTCAATCTTTTATAGGTAAGTACATAAGGAAACTGAAACAATGGCATGCTATGGACTGCTCATCAATATTCGGAAGGATGGTTCCACCGGTGCGGAATTCCCTGTCACCAAAAATGAAATTACATTTGGGTCACTTCTGTCGTGTGATGTACGCTTGAAAGTTCCAGGCATTGAAGAGACTCACTGCACACTCCTTGTCCACCCAAATAGCTCTGTAAGTCATCTTCATACTCCTCAAATTTTATTTGTAAATTCTTACATCGACCCTTTATTCATATCAGGCAGGTGCAATATCAAAGTAAACTGTTCGGGACCATTTAAAAACAGAATCACTCGATGCTGAATGGTCTGTGTTGGGAAATATAGTATTGGTCATGATCAAGGACTGCACCTTAATGTTAGTTTGTCAGGTCGCCTGCACTGTTGGTGATCAGTCAATCATGTGTAAAGCCCGGATCACACAATCAAAGTAGAGCCTTCAAAAAAGCTCATCGATGGCATTCTTGACTGTTAGCCTCTCACAGTTCATTGGCCGGACAATCTTTGAAGGTAACCGATGTGTTCAAAACATATCATAGATCACATCTTGAAATCATAAAGGAATTTCATGGAGAACTGGCTGAGAAACTAAAAAATTTGTGCCACTTTGAGAGCTCTATATTGTGTGATATGTCGGTCTGTGTCCTTTTATCTGAAATGCAAAGAAAACTGTCTTCCGTTGTTGTTTTTTTTTTTTTTTTTTTTTTTTTTTTTTTTGTACTACTCGGGGGAACTTGAAGTCCCATCTATTTCTGACTCAACAATTTTACCCACGTCCAATGTTGCCCGTAAAAGAGACTTCACCTCATTGCTTTCAGATGGAGCTCTTCTGTGTTAGTCAATTTGAAGTTTTAGGGCACTCTAAATTATTCCTGTAAATTATTCAGAAATGAAATTTCCTCGTTTCTAATTTTTTTGTTTCAATACAGGCATTAATCCTTCAATCATTCTAATCTTCTGTTTATTAGGCTTTACTAAGAAATTTTTCTGCCAAAAACCCAGTTCTTGTGAACAAGAAACCAATTTTGAAGAATGAGCTACTTCAAGAAGGCGACAGGATCACAATCCTTGACAAAACTTTCATGTGGCACAGTAGTTTTTCAAAGTAAGTTCATCATCAGTCACTATTATTTTTCCACTTTTCAAATGAGTCAAAATAATACTGAACTGACTGGACGCTTGGCGGATCGAGTCAATGAGAAAAATGGGACATGATGTGGAAACTTGAAAAGCATTTATCTTTGTTCATAAGAAATGTAGAGGTTCAGTAGTGTTCAAATTGATTTTCTTGTAAGCACCCATGCAAGTATAAAGTGTGACAAATTAAGCATCAAAATCTGCTGTTTTAACATAAAATTTCATGTTTGACCTCTCCCCTTGGCTCGCTCTTTTACGGGGCGATGAAAGGTTTTTGAATAATCTAGGCTTTGGATTTTACAAGTTCTAGGTACACATTATGAAGGTGAATCCATTCAAAACACCAAAGGAGTAAGGATACAAAGGTACCTTATCAATAGGTACTGCTGAAGTCAGTGACAAAAGTCAGTGCTACGATCTACTAACCGGAAATGACATGAGTCCAGTTGGCATGGAATGCCAACTGGTGTCACTTTGAAAAAGTGACCCCCTCAAAATTTGATATAATTTGGCATAAGTACATAGTGTCCATGCATAGCGTAGTCAAAATCCAACACATGAGTTGATTGAGACTTGCGAAAGTTAGCTTCTTTCGCAGTGGCGTGCGGTGGGTTTAGTGACAGGGCAAGCTCTAGCGTTCGCCATCCGGGGGGGGGGTTAACGTAGTCTCTTTCCCCTCCTCAGAGAGCCTCCCTAGAAAATTGTTAAAATTTTATGGTATTTGCTCTATTTTTCGGATAAAATCTGATGGAACGTCTTGAAAAACTGTGGTTTTATTACTTTCTCTTTTACTTATGATTTCGTTTACTCAACTTGTTTTGAAAGTCATTGAGCATTAGAGAACGGCTCCGTGCTCTTGACTCCTAATTTTGCCACTTATTTGAGGTATTGTAGTCTTTACTCTACATTATTTAGAATTTTTTGAGTTTAAAATTAGAAATTAGAAAAATAAGTTAGAAAATTAGAATTTTCTGCGTTTTAAACATGATTGAGAATTTTCTAATTCATCACTAATCAGACCAAGTGAGGGAAATTTTGTAGAATTTAAGGGCATTTGCACCGAAGAAGCAATTACAACCGCGACGGAAAGAGGGAGCAAGATAGCGCATCGGAGGCAGAAGCAGCGCGCTGCGGTGACGGGTCAAGAGATGGCCAAGAGAAGCGAGCTGCGATCGCGCAGCGAAGGACTCGGAACGTACCGCTCTACCCGCCCGCCTTGATTCCGCCGCCGAGCAGTGGCGCTCCGCTCAGCTGATCGCAAGCGATTCTCCAGCGCATGAGTCGTCCTGTGTTCAGGCCGCGCTGCGCCACCTCCATCTGCTGCTTTCATACACTTTAGTGGCACTATAAGTATTTCTGTCTCTCTCTCTTTCTGTTTTTAATGCAATTTACATACTGAACACCTTTTATAAATTATATTTGCTAAAATGTAAAACATGCATATAACAGGTGTAATTTTCTTCTTTCTTTTGAAATCTTTGGGCAAGCAGTGCTTGCCTTGCTTATCCGGACCGCACGCCACTGTTCTTTCGATGGATGTCACCACTTTATCAATGTCTAGCTCTGGGACGGCTCATCCGAAATTAACTACTCTGGTGTCGTTGGAAAGCTTGAAAAAAGAGCTTTAATTTCAGACATGTGCAACAATAATGGGCCAGACTCAAAATTTTTTTCTGGTGCTAATTTTAATGTTTTGATTGCTATAATCCATAATTGAACCTTTTGATTTTGTTAAAAATTCTGAAAGAGGTTGATCAACATGAAGGTGGCAGCATCATCAACCTTCTTTGCAGTTAGCAGCATTCATCAAGTACCTACCTTAAAAGCCATGCGTATCATTTATTCACTGATAATATAAAATTAAAGCTTATGTTAGTCGGCTAATTGAGTATTAAAATGATTTGATAAGAGTCTCATGTGATTATCTGTAAGCTCTCTCTTATTGCTACTGTATTGTGTTTATTTGTTTTACCTCTACAGGGCAGACAAAACATCCCGTAAATCAATTGCAACATGTGTCAACAGTCCTGTCAGACCAAAGAAGAACAATGTACGCAAATCTGAGCCGGGACGTAGGACACCGCTCAAGAGTTCTGTTTCATCAGAACGGATCAGTATAGAGGTAAGAATTTTTAAATTGCCCATAAACATCATTTTTTCTAGAGAACTTAAAGGCTCAAACCTGAATGATACGCTTTATTCTTTTTTGAAGACTTGCAAAACATTTGTTTTGATTTACATCAATTGCAACATAAATGGAATTTTTCTACTCCTAGGAAAAATTTATAATCAGGCAGTTAAAAATGTGAACGCAACTGCCCGCTCCCTATTTTTAATTAGCCACGAATACTTATCAGCCTACTTTATGTATTCTTCAAAATGTTATTGAGGTCCTCTTTTAGGAAATTTGTCATGTACCTCTCTATAGTTAAAAAACAAATTCATCTTTTTATGATGGTTCTTAATTTAGCCTTGGTAGAGTCAGTTGGCAAATCCTCTTGAGTGACATTGATTATTTCTATCAGTAATGTCTCCTTCATTTCCTCTCACTAGAACTTATAATTCCTCCTGTTAAAGTGTATAATGCAAAGTAGACTAAGATAATTAAGCGACTAGGTTTAAGGCACAGCACTTCATGTGCACATTGGACAGCGCCTTGCAAGTCGATCAGCAAGTTAACAAATTATATCAGACTCCTGGTTTGGGGCTTGTAGCGCCAACTTTCATGCTTTAATTGCCAGGCTCTTTCATCTCCTCTAGATCGATTGTAAGGGCTGACTATGGTCAACAATTCAACAGCATTCATTGCGTTCCTTACGTGCCTTCCTGTAAGACTCTAACAGTGCGGAGTTCTTGACCTCTAAACTGAATTATTTTTCTTTGCACATAAATCATGTTAATCATTTATTTTTCAGGCTCCAAATTTAGCCCCTGGTACGACCAGATCGAGCAAAAGCTTAGGTGCCGAAACATCGGAAGAAATTCCAGGTGTGACAGAAAGTTTAAGTCAAAACATAACCGTGCGACGCAGAGGCAACATGCAAGTTTCACCGAAGTCACCAAAGCAGAGCTTGTCCCCCCGGCGCAGTCTACGAGTAAGTATCCACCGCAAGTCAATTCTTCGCTCTACAGCTACACCGCGAACCAGGAAGTCAGTGAGATTCAGTCGAATGATAGAAGGCACTCCAGAGCACACTATTTGGAAAGTTCCACGAACGCCTGCCAATACATCTTTTAATGCATCTGCATTGTCATCCGATAGCGACTCAGCATCAATTATTGATCTCACAAATTGCACCGACATCGACTCCGGGTCACAAGCCGACTCTGAAATATTCGAGTATCTCTCTACGCCAGCAAAATCCATGAAAAGTGAGGTCTCTGAGGTGGAAGATGTAACCATTGCCACTTGTGGTGACTCCTCATTGAGCACTATGCTTAGTCCATTTAACTCTGGAAAATCTAGACAGCCCGCAACTCCGTACACAAGATCAGCCTCAAAATCATTAATTTCTTTTGAAACACCCAACTCTCATTTGAAATCAGTTGCCAAATCGCTGATCTCATTTGATACTCCAGCCCCTGTGCAGATGGCAGATAAGTCATTAATATCTTTTGATACTCCTGCTGAAACCAAGTCTGTGTCAAATGAGAAAATCTTATCACTTAGAAAACAGACGCCTTTCAAAGCTGGGTCATTGATGAAACCATCCTTATCGGTAAAAAGTGCTTCAAGGCCTACACCCAGCCAGGCGAACACTCCCAAATTATTGGCATCTCCTAAGTTTAAATTTGACAGAGCTCAAGCCAAACCAAAACCCAAAGTCAAAGACCAAACACCAGTTCTGAAAACAAAATTGATTCCTTTGAAGAAGAAAGCAGCTCCAAAGACACCACTCCTGGAGCTTGCAGAAGTGTTCAAAACTCCTGGAAGACGAGAGGTAAAAACTCCTGTTAGCAGTAAGCTCGGAACTCAAGCAAAAACTCCCGTTAGCAGTAAGCTTGGAACTCAAGCAAAAACTCCTGTGGCAAGCATCCAAACACCTATGGCTGGGTCCTCGTCTGATCTCAGATTGTCAACACCCAAAGGGAGCTTGAACCTTAGGACAAGAACTCCTGCAACAGGTATCCGAACACCTGCTATTGGGGCTTCGTCCAGAGTGAGTTCCACCCTCAAATCATCAACATCCAGAGAGGGCTCTAACATGAAAAGTGGAATTCCACGCTCAATCAGGTCCAGTATCCAGAAGGGGATGCCGATTGGTAAAACCAGGGGCACAACATTTTTTGCTATCGACTACAGCAAAGGCACACCGAAAGTTAAAGCCAAAACACCATCGCAACCTGCACCAAGGTTTAAGTTCACAACCCTTCATAGGGTGAATGTTGATTCAGAGAGAAAAGTTTCTCCGGAGACTGTCAAAGATACAAATGTGTATCCAGATGTTTCAAAAGTGATTGAACTTGATAACTCCGTAGAAATTCTTAGCTCTCATAGTCCAAAGCAATTTGAAACTCCATTGAAGAATGACAGACAGTTGAGTGTGAAAACTGAAAGCACACGAAGGCTTTCTTCTCTGACTGATATTGTTGTTGTTCCATGCGAAGCAAGTGATATACGTAAATCTAGTTCTAAATCTGGCAAAATGCCATCACAATCTGAAGCTCTTTCTAAGGGGAACATTGGATTATCAGTGGAAACTCCTTCAAAAAGATCCCGAATCTCCTCTCTCGCTGAAGTAGTTGTTGTCAAACCAGAAATGGACATAATTCATGAACCCGCAACTAATTCTCCAGAACTTTGCAGGAAATCTATTCAGAATGCGTCTCTGGCAGAAATAGTAGTCATCCCAGCAGATACAAATACTATTAATGCTAGTAAGAAGAGAGTTTCAGCCTGTCCAAGGGCAGCAATCAATGGGGAAAATCTAAATGTTATCGCGGAAGGTCAAAGTCATTTGCAAACCCAAGCACAGGCTAAGTCTTCGGATTTACCCACTGAGGTCAATGATAGACTGAATTCACCCCTAGTTGAAAATAGTCCCGGTGTATCATCCCTGAAATCTTCACCTTGCGATCTTAGCAGTGTTTTTAAGACACCTCTAAAAACACCTTTGAAGACACCAGCAAGAAGCACGCGTGCATCTGCAGCAAAGAAGAACAATTTGGTTAGTGAGGAAAGAGCGAACACAAAAACACCATTGAACTCTGTCAGAAAAAGCAGGGTCAAAGCTGCAGCTCAGAGTACTCCTAATTTCTCCATAGTAGAAGGTCTATCTGTCAGTGGAATTAGTGATGTCTTTGAGTCTCCTGCAAAGACTCCTAGAAAATCAACGCAGAGTACAATAGCCCTTGGCTCAGATGTAACCCAGCAATCTTCAACTGAGACCCCTAGTAAATCAACACTCATCAATGATGCGACTGTCACAATGCCTGATGTGGATTGCGAAGAAACACTCACATTATCAAAATCAGCTGAACCCTCAACATTGGCACTCAAGAGCAACCACAAGAAAGCAACCACCTCGCTAGAAGCAGATGCAACTTTTGAAGTGCTATCTCCAAATATCAGATCAGTTAATGAAGGAGAAATAGACAGGGCCAACTTATCTTCAGAAGTCAGTCAAAGTAAAACAGCCACATACTCCAATCCCGGAATGCCTTGTAACTCAAAGACAAATGCATCTATAGCTCTCACCAGTTCAGGATCGGACGAAGTTGTCTTGTCGTTAAGTGTTGAATCCAGTGGATTTTCTGATTCTCTTTTTGAAACCCCTAACAGAGTAACCCGTAACTCCACCTTTAGTGGCTCAAAAGTTAATATTCCCTCTAGCACTCCTGAAAATCTAATAGGAGCAAACAAAGATGTGTGCTCTAAGAAAGCAAGGATAGTCCCAATAATCAAAATCAATGATGAAGTTTATGAGACTCCCATCAAAGCCTCTAAATTACGAAAGTCTAAAACTCCTGTTTCTGTTGCTTCTCCTGAAAGGACAGAAAATGAAATAATTGAAAAATCGGTTTCCTCAACATCTTCGCCCGAAGGCATTCTGAAGTCTCCCTTAAAATCAAATTTGAAAATGCTGCCATCCTCTTGCATTAGTGATACGTCAGTGTCATCAACATCTAACTATGATATGTCACCTGAAGTAGCAATAGAGGGCAAAATTTCCAATGGAACCTTCTCTCAAGACAAAGAAAACTGTGATGCAACAAATCAAAACCCTGTCAGAAAATTAAACGAAACCTACTCCCCAGAAAAGCAGAATTTTGTTGCAGACATGATGAGATCTCAATACTCGGCAAAGATGTTGCAAGATTCAACCAATGGCAGTAGAATCCTTGATGGAACTTTTGTCAAGACTCCGCTCAATGTGAATGAATCGGAATCTCGATCGTTTGATCTTGCTGAAAAACTTGAAGCAACAGGTAAAACACCGTGTAAAGTGACTCGCCATTTTGTTGCCAACAGCTGCTCACCCACCAAGACTCCTCGGACTGTCAGAGAACCAGAATCGCCCATGCTTGATCTTGCTGAGACATTCAAAACACCCGGTAAAGTGACTCGCCTTTCTGTCGCTAAAAGTTGCGCTTCTACCGAGACTCCCCTCAAAGTGAGAGAACCAGAATCGCCGCTGCTTGATCTGGCTGAGACATTCAAAACACCCGGTAAAGTGACTCGCCTTTCTGTCGCTAAAAGTTCTACTTCTACCAAGACTCCCCTCAAAGTGAGAGAACCAGAATCGCCCATGCTTGATCTTGCTGAGACATTCAAAACACCTGGTAAAGCAACTCACCATTTGGTGGCTCATAGGTGCACGCCTACCAAGACTCCCCTCAAAGCGAGGGAACCAGAATCGCCCATGCTTGATCTCGCTGAGACATTCAAAACACCTGGTAAAGCGACTCACCATTCGGTGGCTCATAGGTGTACGCCTACCAAGACTCCCCTCAAAGCGAGGGAACCAGAATCGCCCATGCTTGATCTCGCTGAGACATTCAAAACACCTGGTAAAGCGACTCGCCATTCGGTGGCTTATAGGTGCACACCTACCAAGACTCCTCTCAAAGCGAGAGAACCAGAATCGCCCATGCTTGATCTCGCTGAGACATTCAAAACACCTGGTAAAGTGTCTCGCCACTCTGTTGCTACTAATCAAACACCTGCTAAGACTCCTCTGAAAATGATTCATCCTGAGTCACGGTCATTTGAACCTACTGAGACAGTTATGACGTCCATTGGGGGCTCTTATGAGAATACCAATTTTGGAGAAATACCCGATGAAAGTGTACTGAACTATGAATACTCTTCTGCATCCTCTGGCTCTGAGCTAAAAACACCTGCCAAACTGAGGGAGAGAATGTCATTAGTTAACGACAAACAGAAGGCTCATCCAGTCAGAGACATCACTTCTATACCTGAAACCTCAAATAAAATATCAGATTATGTTGAGTCTACTCAATCATCCACAGAGGTTAATCGCATCTCAGCTGCCACTCCTAGATTCACACGCAATTCCTTAGCCATCTGCAATCTTGAAAAAGCTACAAAAACTCCAAATGGCTCTCAAAAAATTGAAAAAGCTAGCGAAGAGTCAAATTCGCTTTCAGTCAACAAAAAGCGACTGTTTCAAAATCTTTCACAGCAAGTGAATAGTATCACAGAAGATACATCATCAAATTTGGACAACACCATTGAGTTAAATCTTTATGACATTTTTGCTACACCTGAAAAATTCGCCTCAGCGCAGGGCTCAAGAACGCCAATGAGCAATGGTCCGTATCAGCCTGAAACCCCAAGTACATCTGGATTCGAATTTGGTAAACTTCTTTCTTCTGCTCTTAACACGGCCAATGCTGTCGAAAATGTTAGTCTCACACCATTGGCAAAATCTGCCTCTAAGACAGGCATTCGGAACTCAGCAGTAAAACCAACAGGTTCTACACTGACTGAAACTAGCATTTGTTACCCACTCAATGATTCCATCACTAAAACACCTTTAACATTAAACAAAAGTTTATTGAGCAAAGGCAATTTTGACCCTCTATGTTTGTCAAATAATTCAGCCATCAATAGCCCTGTAAATACAGCTCAGCTGGAAAGTTTTTGTGGAAATCTAGCCAACACCTCCGAACTCAAAAGCTCCCCCTCATCACACCTGACAAAACCTTCATCCTTGAAAAAGACTCCCAGAAGTGCCAGAAAAAGTTGCTGCCCTTCAACACCTGAAAGTTCTTTGAGAGTAGAATTAGAAGCACTATCTGCAAGTGGCGGTAAGCTGAAGGATAAGGTTTCAAAATCCAATGCTGAGAGTCCCTTATTACTGGACAAGCTTTTTGAAGAATCCAGAAGCAAACTGCAAACCCCATCCTTTAAAAACTCACAATCAGGTACGGTTAGTTCATATTTGAGTGCTGTTTTAGACTGGAAAACGGGTGAACCTTGTAACGAAACAGTATTGAGCCCTAATACAACCATGTTCGACTTCAATGCAGTAAAAACTCCAAACGTCCCAAAAGATATGTTCGTGTCACCATTGCGTGCAAGTGATAAGACCTCCGATAGCTCTGACGGAGAATCTAATCTTAAATCCGCCAGAGGAAGTTTGAAAAACTGTGCATCAAACACTATGTTCAACTCAAAATCAGAACTAGCGAATTATGTGGAAGAAAAGTTGAAAGTTGTTGGCTCTGGTAGAAGCAGCACCAAAAAGAAAAAGCTCAATCGAGCCTCCAGTTCATCAAGATCGTCCATCAGAAGCTTGTCCAGACACCCTGGAAGTGCAACCAATCGCCAGAGTGGTTCATCCAAAGGAAGTAGTTTTACTGCACGAAAAAAGAGAGTATCAACTCCTAAAGTGCCTAAACGAAAACTGAGATTCCATGCAGATGTTTTGAGCTCACCTGATTCTGAATCGGAGAACCAAGTTTCAAATGAGGTGGAAGTAACTATGTCTGTGAGGAGCACAAGAAACTCAAATTCAGTGGCTTCAGCCAGACGCAGCACGAGGGGCAAAACGCATAAGGGAGAAATTTCTGCACCCTCCAAAAAGGCCCCTAAAGCAGCTCAGTCTAACTCCAAAGTAGCGAACAAGTTGTCAAAAAGCAAAAGCTCTGATTTAGAGTCGGCTGAAGTTTTATCTGCTGCTCCTGTCAAAAAGCAGAAAGGTACGGTTGCAAAATCACAGTCATGTAGAGCCTTAAGATCTAAAGTGACGTTTGATGTGGACGAGGAAAAAACATCACCTGTAGCAAAGAAGCGCAAGTCTCCTCAGACTCAAGTTCCAGCAAACGTTGGTGGAAAACGAAGGAAAACTAGAGAAGAAACAGAAGAGTTAGTACTTTCCGCACCACAAAAGAAGACCAGAGGAAAAGTAGCCGCTTCTAAATTGAAGCTTGAAGACGAAATTCCCTCTCCCCTCAAGAAAGTAACCACAAAACCACTGAAAAAAGGATCATCAGTGAGTCAGCGGAAGGCAACGTCTATAATTTCTGAAATCCAAAGCCCTCTTGTTGAAAACGAAGAGGGTGATGTGGTGATGCCCTCCATGTTCGATAGAGTAAAAAATCGCAAAAGAGTATCGATAAACTCACCACAAAATCCAGCTGAAGAGCCTGCAACTAGCAGACGTAAAACGCGATCTATTTTGTTTGAAACCGGAAAAACTCAGACTACCAGTTCAACGCTAAAAGTTAATAAGAAGGCTCAAACTATATCTGACAGTTCTAGGAGGCGCACAAGAGCTGCAGCAGAGCCCATTCATATCAAGGCTCCTGGAAAAGATAAACAAAAGTCAACTAAAAAAACCACAGCGCAAGTTGTACCTGAACCTGATGTGTCTGAAGAGGAAGTAACTGTACGCCCAAAAAGAAGCACTAGAGCCGCAACAGAACCCTCAAAATCTACAGACAAGGCTGTTGGAGAAAATGAACCAAAAACTGTTCGGAGAGCTATGGCCAAAGTTGTACATGAACCTGAAGAGTCTGAAGAGAGCGTTACAGTCCTTCCAAAAAGACGTACGAGAGCTACATTAGAATCTTCAAATCCTGCTAATAAGGCTGTTGGAGAAATCAAACGAAAGAACACTCGGAGAACTGTGGTCAAAGTCGTACAAGAACCCGAAGAGTCTGATGAGAGAATTACCGTCCTCCCAAGAAGACGAACAAGAGCTGCAGTAGAGCTCATGGAACCAGTAAACAAAGCTGCCCAAGAAAGCGGACAAAAATCTACTCGAAAAACCAAGGCCGCAGCTCTAGGTGAAGCTGAACTGTTACAGGAGGAAGGTACCCTGCCTACTAAAAGAATTCGCACCAAAAAAGAGGAAAACTCTTCAAAAGTTGAAGAGCCTAATTTGGAGCAAATCATAAAAGAACCTGCAACCAAAAAATCTTCCACAAAAACTGTGCCTGTCAAAAACACCAAGGGAAAAACGGATACCAAGCCGTTAGCAAAACAAGGAATGCCTCCTTCAAAAAAACCCACCTCTAAAGGAACAAAGCGGGAGGCCTTGAAGAATGTGCAGTCCCCATCACCTGCGCAGCGAAAGGTGAGGTCTAAAGTAGAAGTTTGTGATAAAGAAAACGATGAGAATACAGCACCTCCTCAAAAAAAAACCAGAGGGAAGAAACCAGCCGTGCCTTCCAAAAGAGTTTCTGAAGAGAAGAAAGTTAGAGTCTCTTTAGGCCGGCGCGTCACACGAAGTCGAAAATAAGGCCAAATCAGTGTACTTGCACAAAACTTTTTCAGAATTTTCATCTTCTTACTCGCTACAAGGATCCCTCTCACTTATTCTCTTCTTTTTCTTTCTCCCTTGTACTCAAAGATTTTATTAATTCTATAAATTTTAGAAAGTGGCCGCAAAATTTCTGAGATCAATGAGTGCAATTGTACAATTTTATAGCACTGCTTACATTATTACTTTCGGCTGCCACTTTTCGTTTCTGTCCTTTTACCCCATTTCAAAATGTATCCAAACTTTCTATTTGTGTAACTAAATTCGTATTTATATGCTGTAAATTCAAATTAAGAAGTATTAAGTGAATTACCTGTTACTATTTAAGCCTTTTTTTTTTTAAACTTTTAAATATTTTTTAATGTTTCAAGATGAAACTTGAAATGAAGTTTAGTCAAGTTGTGACAGATCTTAGAATTTCTTTTTAGACTTTCTGTTATCTTTGAAGTGAACTTCTCCAGCCTGCAGGCTGGCTATTGAAATTGATTGACCAAGTAATAGACAGAGTGGACAAGGAGAAAGAAGAGCAATCTTATTTGTTGAGACAGATGGTTGTTATAGACTACGGGTGAAAATAATGGACCAGTTAGTCTTTTTCTATTTTCCTTTTTCCACTGTAACCTCCCGTTTTCACCGATAAGATTGCTCTATTTTCTCTGCGTCTTCTTTGTCTATCAATTTCAATAATCAGCCTGTCGCCAACTTTTGATTGATTCGTTTTTCCCCCAAAGGTATTTTTTAAAAAGCGGACATCTATTAATATTATGAATAATAGTAAAATTAATTTTTCACGTCCATAAAAGTTATTCTTTTGATCAAAACTTTCACAATATTTTGCCTCTGAAATGAATTTGCACCCATGTCACAATTAGTTGTTCAGTCATCTGTTTTTTTTTTTAAAAAAAAAAAGTGTTTTTTACAAAAGAGAGTGAAAACACTTTTGGAATTTCATTGTTCTTTTCCGTGAGATTATTTTTTTTTACATATCTAGGATAAGCTAGAAAACTATGTATCACAATTTGTGACAGTGAAATCCGTGCCTTAAATGATTTTTACTAAAGAAAGCAACCCACAAATGTTTTACAAGTTGACTGTGATTTTTTTCTTTTTTCTTTTTAACCAGTCTTAAAAAATTGCATGCGATAATATCAGTTTCTCAGTCACTTTTAGAAATAAAGGTGTGATTAGAATTAATGAGACATAGTAATGGAGGCTTTAGCTTTCCTGTTTTTACCATCAGTATGATGTAACAGAAAACATCAATTTTACTTATAACCTAATCGAGTCAGTGGGTTCATTTTTTCCTGTTTATGAATGTAAGCCAAAGCTCCGACTCTGTAGGCATTACCTCTCATGTAAATCTCTTTATAATTTGCATTGTAAATTTCCTATAACATCCGGACTATAATAAACTTTATCTGTAAATTTTCAATCCTTGAATTTTCTCTTTTTTGCTTTGAAACAACTTATTCCTCTTTAAATTTATGACTCAGGGCAAAAGCAAAACCTGTATTTTTTCACAACCATTTATAATAGTTCAAGATTAAATCAATGTCTCCTGAGTGGCATCATTCCAATTTTACGAAGTAGTTTGGACGTTTGCTTACGTAAGTTTAATTTAGGCAAGGCCCTTTACTGGACGGCTTTGAAAAATATTTCTCCTTTTTTTCTTCTTTTTTCGTTTTAATGAGGAGGTATTTTAAGGCTCTCTCAAAAATTTCTCCTCCCCTTTTTCTCTTAGAAGTCATATGTCTCTTAGATTAAGAGTAATTAATGACCCTGCTCATGTAGTACCAGCACACAGTAAAGAGGAAGGTACTGCGGCTCTGCGTAGATTTGCTGGTGGGACCATCTGTCACTATACCCACTTTAGAAAATGTACACATTTTGAAATTTCATTTCTTGAACTGCAGGTTCAGTAATAACTTTCGTTTGAAGATAAAATGAAAAATCATCCTCTTGCAATGAAAAACTGAGCATCTGCATGGTTTTATGTAGGTATTGATGGTGAAACTGCTGAAACACGTATCTTGGTTTGCGGCATTGCAGACTTCTTGTCATACTTTATTTTCCGCTTGACAAACCACTGAACATCTTTTCTAGAAAACGTTCACAATTTGTTTTTCATGTGAGGAATGTCCTGTGAAAATTTCAAGCCATGATGTTACCTCAGATTCCTTTTAAAAAATAAAATAGAATTGGAGAATTCGAAACGCCGCCACCAAGATACGCATTTTTGCAGTTTCACCGTCAATATGTACCTAGAAAAATACTTTCACATACGTGATTTTTTCTCAGCCTTTTACTCAACCCTAAAGCACTTAAATTCTGAAAAATGAACAAAGTGTATTCGAATATGTCAAAAATATCTCCAAGAAAGTTCAAAATTAACCATGAAAATGTGTGATTAAAATATTTATGCATAAATCATCTAAGTGTGCCATATTTGCTCTCAGTTGGAATGTTTAATATGTCTAAATATTGATTGCTAAAGTTGAAAAATGCGCATCTCATATTGCAATTTTGTAAGTTTGTAATTTTTCGTTTTTGACTCCTGTTTTATTTCATTATAATAAACAAGTCGTCAATTTATCTGCTGATATTTTCTGTGAATTTCCTTTACTCATTCCAAAAGTACACACAATTTACATGGAAAAATTTTGAGTAGTTTCCCTGAAGAAAATAAAACACAATCAAAGGTTTTTAAAATGAAGACTCGCACTTTTTGCCACCATTGATATCCTGAAGTGTTGGGAGGCTGAGTTTTCAATTTTAAATTCGATTGCTAAATATAGTCATGAATATGGTCAGTCGAACCTCTTCATAGTGCTTTCATGTCAATGGGTCAATGGCAATGTAGGAATGCGAGTTACCTATTTGAAAAACATTCGGTCCAGCAAAAGTCAGCGTATTTCAAAGGGAAAAAAATCTAAGTGACGGTTTTAATCGAAGGTCAGAGAAATTTTAGGCATTCGGAAATTTTGGAGTCAAGACATAGGAAATTACGGAAACCCTGGTTTTGAAGGAGAAAGGAAGGCTAGTATGTCTTTTTCTTTTTGGAATATCAAAATTCGTGTGTAGATGAGAACGAATGATATTTTTTTTACTTTATACTCTCATTTTCTTCCAGTCGTAGCCTTATGAAAATTCCCCATGGCTTCTAAAAAATTTTCTTAATGCTTGCCACGCTAAAGGGCCTTGTAAGAATAACTTTAATTAGTGAAGTTGGATCTAGTTGGAACATCGCGCGCTCTAATGTCGTAATAGCGAGGTTTTAAGTCTGCCGCCACTCCCGCGTCGCGTCGAACTCTCCTCTCATTGGTTAGTGCAGCTTTTGGGTTGTTGACCGCAGAGGACCGAGCACAGATTAGTCCAGATCGCTAACATCGGCGGAGGAGCGTGAGTAGTTTTGTGAGCGCCATTGGCGGGAAAATCCATGGGCATTTAAAACTAGGAACCAAAACTGAAATTTTGGCTTTTTTCAGCAGATTTTCGGCGGGAGAATACTTCTCTTTCAGATTTTTGTGGGATGAAACGTTCCGAAGAATTCAAGAATTAGTTTCTCAATGGTTTCTCAGTAGAATTTATGTGGTTCAATATTTCCAGATTAAATAATTAAGGTGGAAATAAATAAAGAAGGAGAATTAATTAAAATACGAGTAAACAAGGCTAAAAATTATTGAAACACTAAAAGGTAAGACGTTTCGAGCTGCTTCCAGCTCATTTTCAGCTGCAAAAACACATAAAAACAAGTAAAAAATTGAGTGGCGACCTGACCTCAGCCGTTATCACGTAACCACTCATAATAACGGCTGGGGTCAGGTCGCCACTCAATTTTTTACTTGTTTTTATGTGTTTTTGCAGCTGAAAATGAGCTGGTAGCAGCTCGAAACGTCCTGCCTTTAAGTGTTTCAATAATTTTTAGCCTTGTTTACCCGTATTTTAATTAATTCTCCTTCTTTATTCGTATAATCGGGCTATGTTTTTGTGCTTTATCGGTGGAAATAAACAAATCAGAGTTCATCAGTATACTGAGTAGATAACATTATTGAAAAAATTTGCAGATTATAATATATCATATTTTTGAAGTTTAAAGCCTTAGAAACCGAAAATTAAAGCAAAATCCTGCCAAAATGAGACTTTTGGTTCCTAGTTTTGAATTCCCGCCAGGCCCCCATGAGAGCAGTTAATTGCTACCAACTGTTGTAAGAATATTGAAACAGAATACTTAGCATAACAGTACTTGATAATATCTTATTTGATCAAAAACCATTATTACACATTACTATTTATACTTTTTTTCAAGCTTTATAATCAGATTCAATAGGAAATTTCTCTCGATCCGGTCAAGTTCTTTCACTACTGGTAGTGCCATCAATTTTCTAAAGTTGCCTAACCTGTAAGCAAAATTACTCACGCTTCACGCTTCTGAAGCATTGGCTAGATTGGATGTTAGCGATCTGGACTAATCTGTGGGACCGAGTTGAGGAGGTTAATAGGTTATGTTGATTTGTTTTCATAATCGCCGATCCGTCTGTGTACGAGTGAATTCGTGTACTTCTTATCAATTAATTTCCCGAGAAACTGCAATTCCTCCAGTGTTCAGTCGTGAGTCCCAAGTTATGCATTTTTAAAACCGATTTAATCGACATAGTTTCATAGTGATCGTGCAACTGCTTAAAACATATCATTACCGGCGTCATTTACACACTCATGTCATCACTGAAGAAAAGCAAGTTCAACCCTTTTTATGAAACTTCTGCAACAGATCCATGAATTCCTTTGATGAATTAGCAGAATATTTTCCGAGCGAAAATCTCGTCAACATGGGCAGCTACTCAAATCACACAAATGATGTCCTTCTAGAAATTTTTAGAACTGAACGTCCTCTCTCTGCCTCACAATCTGACACCACAAAGATTGGACCTGACACTGTCGAATTCGTAAGTACTGATGAAGCCGAATATCAAAATCAAGAAATCTTTGACTTAATTGGAGATTCTTGTTTCAAGGAGACCTCTAATTACTGTTCATTATTAGATCTTGATGTGTTAGGTACGGAACTCCCTAAAGGTCTCTTCAATGACCAAACCAGAAGTTACACCGCTGAATCCTCTGGAAAGAATGATAGCTCAACCGAAATTTGTAGTCATTTTATCGGGAGCAAACCGTGTGAAGGCTCAGCATTGTCTGAAACAGTAAAACATGTGGAAAATGGAGATTCCTGCATTCACAAAATAGTGGATCTATTGGCCACCCTGGTCGATGAAACTTCCCCTAATGATGAAATTGATTTCAACACAGATCTTTCAGACCTTCCAAAAAATGAGGCTGCAAATGTATTTTCAGAATTACAGTCCTCTAGAGAGGGAATTAGCCTTAAATCTTTTGCTAATTCATCATCACAAACCACTGCCTTCCATAGTAATACGATTCTGAAGGAAAAATTTTTTGATCATGATTCTCATCTTTCACCCCATGCAAACTTCTCGCTAGGATCAATTTCTAAGTCAGATTCACAGATTTTGAAAAAAAATCATTCTGCTACCAATTTAGATGTGTTTTTCAAGAGCAAAGATGTTGCCGTTTGCCAGCAAGTTGGAAAGGATAGTCCAACATCTCAGGTGCAGAAACGGACCCCACGACCTCTTTTACCTCAGTTAACTGAATTTGCCTGTGAATTCTGTCAGCCAAGGTTATTCTTTTTATCAAAGAATGACTTTCTACAACATAAACGATGTCACGAAGACGTTAAAACAAGAGAGAGGAAATTTAAGTGTCAGGAATGCGATGAAACATTTTCTGTCTATACGAAGTACCTTAATCACATCAGACATCATCGTAAAAAGAAGTGTGAATTTTGCCTCAAAGAATTCCTACCAACTAGTCTCAAGAATCATTTAAGAATACATGATCCATCTCAAAGGCTTTTGTGTGAACACTGTGGCTTGAGATTTGTCTCAAAATTGAAACTTAATGAACACTTGAGTCTCCTTTCTAATCAGAAACCCTACACTTGTGAGCTATGTAACCGTCAATTTTCCAGCCATGGATCCTACTGGATCCACAAGAAGTATCATGCCTCTTCATTTCCTGTCAAATGCATTTGTGGTCAAACATTCCGACACTTATCTTCTCTCAGAAAGCATTGTCGCATTAGTGGCTGCTCAAACTCCTCAGACTTTATCTCTACTTCATGTATACCATTGGAACAGAATTTGCTGTCCAGTGTAGTGGCTGAAGAAAGTAAAATGTCACCGGCTTGCAATTCAAAATGCAGCACTGAAAGTGGCAGCACCTCATCAGCCGAAGGCGGTATCAATCACCCATCTAAGGATTTGAACACAAAAAGTAATAAAAATTTGCTAGTAACTGAGTTCAACCATTCATCGGCCACTATATGTAGTAGAAGCTTTGAATTAAAACCAAATGATAATGGTTCAAAGCCTAATGACACATCTGAGACTGATTTAACTTTAAGAAGCTTCAACTGGGAATCATGCACTGATCGCAGTTCCTCAACAGCCAATGACAGCAACGGAGACCACAGTCAATTAACTAATGAAAATTCAGAAGGTAGCAGTGGCTATATTTCGGCATGTGACTCTGTAGAAAGCAATGATTCAGTCGTGAACCGAGTAGATAAAGGCTGGAGATCATCAGTTGATGAAAACATGAATGAATCAGAAAATTTCAAAATTGTACTTTCCAGGTATTCAAAAAGAGAAGTCGATTTGAAAGCTTGCAGACTGCCAAACGCTTCAACTGTACAGTTTGTCCTTAACAGTCCGAAAAACTCTGAAGAGTTTCCTTTTAAGTGTGAACGATGCCTGAAAAGCTTCTCTGTCAGAGGGTCATTTTTGAGACATCAAAAGAGTCTATTAGCTTGCAACCTTGAAATCAAGAAACAACTGCAAGTAAAGTTGAAAACCACAGGTGAAATCCCATCAAAAGCAACTTCAGCCTCCTTTGTGTGTGAGAAATGTTTACAGACTTTTCCATTCAAATGGTCGTTGCAAAGGCATCAAAAGAGCCTCACTGCATGCAATAGTGGAATAAAAAAGCGGCAGCAGCGATCCAAAGATATTCAGGGAAGCATGCTTAAAAAAAAAGTTCTGGTTCCCAAATTAAATTCTCCAGATTCTCATTGCCCCTATTGCAATATTCAATTTCCAGATTTGGAATCATTTTTATTTCATTTTCAGAATGAATGCAATCATTAGCGTAAATTCTTTTCTGCTTTTCTTTTTCTTCCTTTTTTTTTTCAGTCCTCGATGGTAATTAGAAGTGAATCAGCTCAAAATATACAGAGATGTTGATGAATATCCAAAGGATTATCTTTGCAGCAGTCAAACTTGGTTTCAACCATTTTTCGTTGGTTTTAATTATTCCCTGACATGTAAAACTAAATTTAAAAAATACGACATTATCTGCTGTATCTGTCAGGAATTAATTGAACCACTGATGATGTATTTAGAAAACTCAAGAGTATTACTAAAACTGCTCAGAATTAGAATAATTTTAATTTAAGGAGGTACAGCTCTATTTACACTGTATTAGTTTCAGGTGTTTGAAAAAGAGACAGAGACAGAGAGAGCAACAACAAAGAGAATAAGAAAAACTGCTTCAGAACTCAAGTCCACCCATAAATTATATCCGCTTGCTGTAATTATTAAAGTATGTATGGGAAAAACATTGATTCCGTTTTCCATGTACCAGCTTTTTCAGAGGCTGTATTTCCTTATAACTTTTAGATGGGAATTGTTATCACTGATCTATTTTACTGAAGATGCTTTTTTATAAAATCTTGCATTCATCAGTACATATATTTATTTCTTGCTGATCACTCATCCCTGTGAGGAAGCATTCATAAATTTGATTTTCGATCTTAAGTCTTCTCGTGCTAATTTAATTTTCTCCTGGTTTTTGTTTATTATGAAAATAACCCCCTCAATCTCTCCTCAAAACAATCTTGATTTCTATGATTGATTTAAGCAAGGTAACTAGTAGATCAGCAAGCAAGAATTAAGTATAATTATAAATCATTTATTTTTACAGAATTTCTGTAATGTGAAACTAATTAGTTTTCAATTTAATTAAACTTATTTGCTGCATTCGATTTTATATTTTCCGCCTTCTTTGTAAGATTTTTCATTACAGTACTCATGGCAGGATTAACCCAAAATTCTGATGATCAAAAATACAATGTCTATGTATAGTTGAAGACTTTAGACATTTCAAGCGTAAAAAATAAGCAGGAATTCTTAATTCATGTAAAAAAGGAACTTCTTTCTCTATTGTTACCATTAAACTTATTTTTCATTTTGTTAAATGATTTTCTTTTTATTTGATTCATTGTAATAAAACACTGATGATTATTTTCTTTTTAGTTCATATAAATTTTCCTCAGTCTTGTCAGAAAAATAGGTCCGAAAATACTTCTTCCTAACCTAAGTTTCCCCATGCAGTTTCAAGTTAAATCTATAGTACTATAGTACTATATTACTCAAGCAGCACAAATTGTAATTGCATGGTACAGTTGAAGCGCCGGGTGCAGAAAGGGCATTTCTTGATTGCCGTGTCTCAGAATCTCCGCCAACGTTTCATCCACAATAATTAATGCAAATGAATGGATTTCGATCAAACTTTTACTGGATTTTCTTTATAATTTTACAATGCTGAAGACGAAAAATGTCAGAGAATTCACCGAATACTTTCCTCTCTAAACTATGAATTGGCAGTGAAGATTTTGGGACACTGCAACCAAGAAATGCCCTTTCTACATTCAACGCCTCAATTATTGTGCTCGCGTTAGAGTGTTGTGTATGCTGTCCATCTGAGGATATAAGGAGCACGTTTTGTTGAAACTCCATCGCAATAAAATTGGAATGAGTTACAATCTTTTTCTGCATTGCGACTATCTTCCAAATACATGGAATTCATCTTGTACTTAGATTGTTTAAATCAGCATATATTGCCCAAATGATTATAAAATATTATTATAATTTCACGGTATGAAAATTAAAATTTTTTTATAATTTCATGATATGAGGATTAAAATTCATTGCACATTGCAACTTTATTAAAGATTTTCATTTCACTAAGCTACTTTGGGAGGTACAATAGATAGGAAGAACGTTATCTTTTTTTGTTCAAAAAACATGTTATGAATAAAGAAAAGGAAGAATTCAGGTGACAAAACATAATTTACTTTACAAAAATGCATACTTAAAGTTGATTATAAATGCAATATCGTATTATCACGGAAAAGTTATCATACTTTAATGATTCTTTTACATAAGGAAATAGCTGAGTGCCTTCAAGACTGACAATAAGTTACTTTACAAAGCACTTTAATAAAGGCTTCTAAACATTTAAATGTGACTGCTTGCTTTTTCCCTGTGTGAGTCTGCTGTGCTTTGTCTCTGTACTGCAGATGAAGATTCTGCATGGATCTACAGGAGTTCAAAGCCTCCCCACTTAGCAGAATTTCAAGATTGACAGTGATAAAAGCTATTATTTTATGGTCAATATTTTGTCTCTTTATTGCTATGAACTTCTACTAGATGGCAGTATTAAACTAAATGGGAAGTACAAACCTGCTGTAAATAGTCTTCTACGAATTTTGAATACAAAACAGCTAGGTATTTGAATGCAATAATTTTCGCTGTAATATCGCTATTTTTGACTATTTTTATCTTTAATTTTTGATAGCTACGTAATTGCCATTCATCTCTGTCAAATTCTTATTTTTGAAAACTCAGCTACACGGGTCAGTAATAAACATTTCAGAAATGGTTTTTGACTGCTTAAAATAATAATTCTTTCAAGGAAGCATCATCAATCAAATAAGCTTGAAACAAAGATGATGTTCTAATACACTCTTTAAACTTGTTTCCTTTTTTAAGCAAGGACATTAAGTGAGGTAGTAAGAATTATTCTTGGTTGTTGTGAAAACGAGTAATGTATCGACGGTGAAACTCCCAAATCCTGTATCTTGGTTTGCAGTGTTGTGCAGACCCGTGTATTCAACATCAACTCTTAAAAACTTCGGTGATTTTTCTTTTCTTTGGAAAGAAACTTCTGAAAACTTCAAAGAATGATGTTGATTTGTTCTTTAAAAAATAACGTAGGAGCAGAGATTTTAAAGCACCACTGATGAGATTTTTGGTTTGAAAGTTTTGACATTGATATATCCACATACCTAGACTTACTAGTACTTTCTGATAGGTGGGATCTTTGCGAAGCTAATATTTAAATGCTCCTTTTGGAGTTATGTATGTGAGCTGCCATTGTAGATGAAAGGAAGTAAATACTCTGAGTAATTATAGAAATAACAATCAAAAATAATGAATCAAATCAAACAAATGTAAAAGTCGAGCAATGGCTTCCAACTTCCCCGATTTTTCTTCTTGAAGAAAAGTGGAATGCATGGAGGGAAAAAATGAAAGTTTATTTTAATCCGGTAGCCATTTTGCACATTATTACAGGGGAAAAATATTGGCAGAGCATACATAACTCCCAAAGAGCATTCTTGTTTTCTGAGAGATGGTAAAAGTACAGGAGCAAAGTAGACACAATTCAGCCTTAATAATCTACTCACGCAGTTGAATAGAAACTCTCCTAAATTTCTAACATCAGCTAATAATTGAAGTGGTAGCTGCAAAAAAAGCCTGTAAGTGGCATCTTTGCTTTGAGTAAAAAACTTCAAATCAAGCTTGAAATTGTCGATAACTTTTTACATTTTGGGGAATACAAATGATTTTTTTTGCGTTTTCATAATTAGAGCCCATGTTGAGGAAGAGTTGCATTAAGATTTATGAATTATTTCTATTTGTATAACACACACTTTTCACACATGCTTTTTTGCAGTCACCTCCTCAATTAATCATACTCAACAGCAAATTAAACAAAAAAAATTAAAACTACTTGTACAAAACAAAAACAAACCAAAAGATTTGGTACATTCAAAGTTAAACAAATTGATCAACAAAAAAGAAAACAATTAGAACAGACTTAGAGTAAAGGGTTTTGCTGACGTGTTGCAAGGTTCGGCATCAGCCAAAGAACCAAAACATACATTTCTGAATGAATGAAATAGCTGTGGACTCTCAATTATTTGAGCCCTATCTTATCTTTACCAAGGGTGCAAAAAATGCTTGAGCATGCCAGCCTCAGTTCGGCCATTGCAAGCGGGAATCTTTGATGAGAATCTGTAATTTTTAGTGAAAAAAAAAGGAAAAGGCACACATTTTAAAATTTTTTGGGTAAGCGCATACTCGTTCACATTTCTGCCTATTTAATGAAGAAATTTTGAGACTGAGAGTACAACTAATTTTTACTCTGAAGAAATATTTGCACCCCTGATCAAGACTAGTATTTCCTTACTGAAATGGGACACTGTTCAATGAGGAAACATAAGTTGAAAGGGAATCATTCTCTCATGCTGACAGACCTGTGTTCTCTTGTGATGCTTTGCAAGCAGCAATTTTTAACTTGGATTGTCCTTCAATTGATCAGGAATTTTACTAGAAGAACTGCCGACCTTTGTGGTCGGCAAGGGTTTGGAGTCAGGGTCTGAGCCCACTTGCCCACTGCTGAACATCGAGCATGCCTCAATCCCTGTCAATGCTGGGTACTTGCGGTTATGACCCCTATCTTTGTTGGTTGCTTGCGACGGGTAGAGACGGCAGGAACAGAAGTTGCCTTAAAATGATTTTCTCCCCGCTTCAAAGCACACAAAAAAAAGTAAAAATACTTGGAGTTTCCTAGTGCTTCATTGTCAGCCAATAGAGGAAAATGAATCTGGCAAAAATTGTGGACAGTAACTGTTAGTGCATAATTTCCATTTTTATCAAACTTTCTAATGGCTAGGGTTACATCTTCGGTTCGTCAAAATTTGTAATATCCAGCCACTTTGAATGCTATGCTGATTTTAATCATAAAGGATCTGTATTAGCTGAATTTTAGACACTCCTTGAGTGCGGGCCTCAGGCACAAAAAATAGTTCTGACAAGCGATGAGAGATCCAGTTTCCTCAAGTCATAGATGAAACTGCCAGCAATGGTGAACAGAGAATTTTTCCCTCATACCTCAAACTAACAAAAATGGAGACATGGCGTGATAATTTTAATTGCAAATACGGCTGCATACTTTGAATGCAGATTAATTAGACAGATACACATTGAAGAATAAAAGCTGAATTTCTATGAGCGCATAGTATTACAAAAATAATTCTAGAATACAAAGATTTACAAGGCCCAGTGGTAAGCTAAATTGAAGATTTGTGAAAAAACCCCAAATAAATTGACATCTGAATAAAAATAATAAAAAAATGGTCAGTCTTAATGCAATAAAGTTTTTTGGAAAAAGTAAGAATACGCCTGCACCGCAATGGTTCCTGAAAGTTGCAAAACTCAGTTTAAAAACGTTTCTGCGACCTTTCCAGACCGGAACTGCTAGGCAGACAGGCATAAACTCTGAACTGCCAACTAGAATAAATTTCTCTATGTGCACAGTTCTAGGCTAATTATGAGAGGATTTTTTTAAAGGTTTTGAGTGAGCTGATCTGAGCTGAGCTGAGTTTTTTGTTCTCCACTTGTTTCTCGAAATATTAGAACGGTAATGTGTAAATATAACTTCGTTGTTTTAATGAAACAATTTCTACTGGCCCATTTCTACCTTCTAAATAACTTCTCAAAATACTTCGGGCTATATAAAAGCCTCCAATTTTGATCACTCACAGTTCAAATGTTGCATAAAAAATTGGTGGATATGTTTAAATCCAATGGTGGATTTTCAGAGAGACTTCAATTCCAAGTGTAAGTTAGAAATGATACCATCTTTAGCTTGACTAAGTAAAACAGAGAATGATTAATCAGTGTAAAGTAACACTACAAATGCTTAAAAAGTATAGAGAATCAGATCTTAATCGTTAGATCTTACCGAACTTTTAGCAAACTATAACACTTGGGTACAAAACTCTTTCAATCCTACGAATAAAAAGTAGGATATATTTGAGCCAAACCTCCCAATAGGTTTAAAACTTTGTTCAGTAGATCAGATAAAATTGACTTTAAGAAGCAACCTTTTAAGGATTGAGGAAAATTTTTGATGAGGGGATTTTTCACATCAATGGGTTTCTCACTCATCTTAGTGTGTAGTGAGAAATGAGGGAAATCCGATGAGAGAACACAACAGATATCTTTACATTAAATGAATAAAATCAATTTTTAAAATTTTCGTAAAATTGACTAGAGTTTAAAAATGTTGCATCATGGTCCTCCATATGTGCCACTTCTATCAGTCCTGGCTACGCAACAGTTTTATAACGGCGTAAGGGTTTAATTTATTTACATTTTTATCACACACATGAAATCTTCATCTGGTCGTGGTAAATGGTCTGACATGAATCTAATTTTAAGATCATGAGATGATATAGACACGAACATAAATAGAAGCATACAATAATGTTGTAATTAATAAAAATAAAAATGAAAGCTAATAAAAGCTGAATATCTTATCCCACAGAAGGAATTTCTGTTGAGATCAAGTATTTTTCAGGAAATTGCCCCAATGCAAAAAGGGATTTTTACAGTATCAAACATGATAAGCTATAGAAGAGGATTTCACTTGACATAAAAATGGTAGAAATTTGAAAGACCTCTAAGTAGGAAAAAAGCCAAGTTTATCAATTTTCAAGATTGAAAACATTTTAAAGAGAAACTCTATTTGCAAGTTCAGCTGATTAGGAAAAAACCTTTAATGTAGGGACTTTTACATTTTTGTCAAAGACTGAAACACTTTTAGAGAAGAAAATCTTGAAAAATTCTTTTTTAAATGAAAGCTAAATCCTTTTTTAACAAAAAAAAAGGGAAAGATTGATTTAAAAAGTTCATCTTCCATGTTTGACATCGTTTTAAGAATCTCTCATCATGCATTTTGAGGGTGCAAAACACTTGGTAAAGTTTATAGCCTGCGCAAAGAAATCTGACTGCTGATAGTAATCAGCAGAGGGTGTAAATGGTATCGCCAGGAAGTCCAGGAACTCCTATTTTGGAATTCTTGAACTTGAAAAGAAAAAGGAACTCAAAATTTTTTGGCTGTCCTGCTAACCATTCTCGAATGTTGCTTCATTTCGTCGAGCAGGCTATAATTATACAAAACCTATCTTAAGTAACTGTTGGAATGACAAGAATGATTTAAAAGATAGCATTTTCACTGCAACTACACTTATTCTAAAAGACCATCTGAGGGTCTCCTTCACGAACAAATTCAATTGAATTATACCGATTGAGGCACATGAAACATTAATATGTAGTTACAGTGCTTAAAACACAAAATTCTTTACCATACAAGCACTGTTTAAAATCTTCCTGTTACAATACTTGCAAAATATGAGTGACTAGGTTTGAAGCAAAGTAACTTACATCCATAAGTAAGCGCCTGGTTAAGATGAGAAGCATAATAACTGATGAATCAATTATTCAATGAATAAGACAGTAAGTTTATTCATTGATCAAGACTTGTGACTTAAGTTGTGTCCCTTGAATTGATTTCAGAGCTCAGAGTATCTAAAAATTTGTACAGGAATACTTTCTTTCAAGGCCTTGTTCATATGCACAGCTGCTTTGCTCAAAAAGCCCCGTATATTTTATATTGCGATTATAAGGGAGGTTAAAGGAGATCCTTAACATAGCATCATAAAAATAACAATTTTGACGAATTTTGAGTAAAATTTTAAGGTGCAACTTTAGAAATATCCTCTTGCAAAGGGTTAGAACGGTTTTCTATGTACTGCTGAAAATTAAAAATGCAGAGGACAAAATTATATGGTTTTTATAAGGTAGCTATGAGCCTTCCTAAAAGTGCTCAACATTTTTATATTTGGTATTTTTAATTTCTTATGGATGAAAATCATTTTGATCCCTTGCTAGGGTCTATTTTCATAATTATACTATTGAATTTTAATAGAGCTTCGTTAAAATTGTCCTTTTTATGATGTCCCTCAGGGACATCATTAAACCTCCGTTGATCACCATGTAAACCATAAGAGGTTTTTTAAGGAAAGGAGCTGCTTAGAGAATGTCTAAAAATACAGCCCTGAATCACCTGATGTGTATAAAAACTGATGAAAATGAGACCTATATTTTTCACATATCAACTCATTGGTCCCTCAAGGAGATCTATCAAGGTATGATCAATTTTAGGATTTGTACCGAGTTCAAAATAAAAATCCCCATAAGTTTCCTTAAATTCAATGGTGCAATATTGAAAATTGCGACTTGCAGGCATTTCGAGCATATCTGCAAATGCAAGAATCTCATGCTTGTATGCACACAAATATTGCATTCTTTTAAATCATAATGAGTTATTGATTTCTATCTCTCTTTTGATATTAAAGAGGAAAAAAATCCATTTCATACCAGTTTGTGATTCAAATACAAGTCCAGAAATAGGGGAAAAGAGAATAGAATATTTTGAATTTTTTTCTATCAGCCCTTCTTCTCTGAAATAAACTTACAGAAGCGGCCTCCTTTATTTAATATCAAAATAACTTCAAAAAATTCTTATCAAATCAGGCAAGACACAATGAGAACTTGACCTCTTGCTTGAAACATACTTTCATATAGAGCTATGCTATATTTTTTCATAATTTACGATAACAAGGAAATAATAATCACTGAAAAGGAGTGATGAAAATAATCAAGAATAGCTCTGAGATGCCTGAAAGATTTGGCAGTGAATATTAAGAGAGACGGAAAGATATTGTTTCCATTTCAGGTTTTCCTGACCACGGTGAGAAGTACCATTTTCACCGATGACAGTTTTTCTTAATTAAACTTGTAGCTCCTGATTTATTAACATTACTGACCTTAATTAACCATGCCTATGTTATCATCACGACTTTGTAAAATGCTAAAGAGAACAACTGAAGGTGAATCTCTTCCAGATTCATCCTCGCTACTGAAGCTGTCACCTGAGAGGAATTTCATCGCAGCTTCGTCGTGCATTTTTGACTGAAGAGTGCTTGGGTCCTTTTGTGATGAAATCTTATGCACCATATGACTTATGACCCCTAGTATACAGCTAATTAGCCCAAGATAATTTGTCAGAGTCATGTCGAAAGTATTGCGTTCCAAATCCAGGGCAACAGTGGTAATTTCCTGCAATAAAAAAGTGTAATTACAATAAAAAATTGTGTTCATTTATTTCCTCTCAATCACATCTTAATATCATGGAGAGAGAGAATAAGTACTAGCAGTTTCTAATTTCTTTATTGTGACAAAGACGGCTAAAAGATTGTGTCAATATTCCTGCAAAATCTGAAATTCGAAGTATAAAAAATAAAACATAAAGCCCATTGTCTTCCGAAATTGGCTGTCTACAATAAACCACATCACTTTAGAGCAAATCTAAGACAAAAATGCTTGTACCTATGTACTAACTTTTTTCTAGGATGCCCAAGGTGCAGACACCTTTTTTTTGTGTCAGCATCAGATCTTAATCCTCCTTAGTTTCCGTTGGTACATTCTTTTGCATTTTATTGTTTATTTTTCATTTTGTGCTTGCGGCTTAAATTCTTTGCCCATAAAGTATTTGAGAAAATCATACTATTTACTGCTGCTTGGTTCTATCTTGCAGCAAAGCAGTCTTTTAAAAAAATCTCCTAGCCGAACCATACCTGACTACATGCATCATTCATCAATAGATATGGGTTATTTCATTTGAAGTGGTCAGTCAATTTTATTAGAAAAGTTGGGGTCTGGAAAATTCTTACACAAAAAGTCACCTCTGAGAAAAGAAATTCTGGATCACAACAGCAATACTGACCAAAGTAAAAATTGACTTAAAAAAACCAAAGCATTGAGTGAGGTGTGGAGCCAAGTTACGTAACTTTCTGTTCACCTGCTTAGGAGCACCTTTCACCTTCCTCGCTAAAAATGGTTGTTCTTGCCAGAAGAGAAAAACAGACAAAATTTGCTCCAAGAGCCGTCAAGAAGCGAATTCGGATGAAATTGACTTCCCCGATGTTCACATATACAAATAAAAGACCCTTTGGGTCTAATTCATTTATAGAAGATGACAATTTTTTCTAAATAGTCGTGTATTTTTCTATACTCTCAAGGAGAATAATTGATTCCTATAAGTTTGCATTATATCTGATGATTTTTCAGGAAAACTGCTTCACCATCCGTGCCAAGGACTCCGCGATTGGCCTGTATATAGGATTCTCACTGCTTGGCAGACTCATGAAAACACCTCATAGAGAGGTCCAGTCTCTACTATCTAACTTTTTAATGGATTTTCCCGCATGAACTTTGAACAGGAATATTCACTTATAGATAAGAACTAAGAGAGTTGCTGACAAAGCTCGTCAATTGCATGATTTAGAATTGCTGACCCTTACATTTAAAGAGACAGTATCATGCTATGCGGATGGCAACTCAATGATTCACGATTTTCTTTAAAGGAAAAAATAAAATATTCTACCTCTTTTTCCTGTTTGTTAATTTTTTTGGTTTGCAACATGATTGATAAACAAAAGTTTAAAAAGCTAATGAGCTGATTTCATTTACAGACTGGGCTCCAACTTTCTAGGCAGTATTATATTGGGAATGTAAATTAACTGATCATTTCATGTCAATGTTGACTGTTCAAGCATGGGGGAAGTCAGAATATTGACCGAAAAAGCAGTAATTAAATTCATTAAATGATGGTCTCTGTAGGACTCATTCCTGCTCACTGCTCATGTATAATTTATGGAGCCCTATTTATTTTACAGAAATTTCAGTTTATTTGAGCGTTACAAGTAAATTGTTCGATAATGTTGAGCAAAGATAAATATTTGGATTCATGTACCCGTGATTGTAGAAGCAATGAAAAGATACTTACTTTCACGACACCAGTGATGGACAGAGTTAGACTGGAACAGCAAACAACAACTAAATATTCGGTGACCTCCATTGTGAAAGCTATTAATGAACTGCCTAAGATTTCACCAATCAACATCCAATCCAGATTTGATCCACACAGGGCATACAGCTTCTCACCTAACAATATTAAAAATTAGTACTAATCATGGAAAAACACAAAAACTACGTCAGCTCTGAAACTAGTTTTGGTACCTTGATCATTGGTAAATAACTGCAACTATAAGGTTAAAGTTTACAAAGAATGTGATATTTTCTAATAGAAGAGAAAGTTACTTCTTCTTTAATAATGAGATTCTTTCTTCTTTTTTTTCATAGAATTTGTCAAAAATTCTTTGCCACAAAATCCACATTTTTTCCCTGAATATCTTTCAGAAAAGTAGATCTAATCAAAGGGAAAAAGTTTTCTAAAAGCAATCTGATTAACTTTCATCATTTCTTTAATTGGGCAGAGGCATGGAATTTTTGCAGGGTTTTAGTATGATTTTTCGAATATAAAATTTTATGAAGGCCCCACAAATTTCATCATGAAGTTTAAAAAAATCATTTCTAAGGGGGAAAAAATTTGATGAAAATCCAACCAATCAAAGGAATATAGTCGAGTTGACATGGCAAGGCGATGCCTGAAGCTGAATTCGGCCAATCGGCAAACGTTGTTTCCCCATGAGAGCCCACCAAAAATATATTTTTAAATGGGTCCCATTTTTGGCATTTTCAAAACAGGATTTCCTTGCCATTCAGGGTTAGAGAAAAATCGGACAAATTCCTAGAAGCTTACTTCACTCCATACTTTCAGAAAAAGAATTAAGGAAATAGGTGCAACTGACTCATTCAGCAAAGTTATAAAAATGATAGATAAAGCCTTATTGTAACGGACTTTGTTATTCTTCTGTTTCTGAACATCTTACTTCAAAATCATACATGGAGTTTCTTCTTTAGAGTTATTTTCTGGCCTACTTTTGTAAGGAAAAAGTTAAGAAATTCTTCCATTAAACTCTTTTCATTATTCCAATAGTTTTAAGCAGAATATACTGTATTACCTTCAAATAATAACATCAAAGGAATAATTGACACAAAAATCCATGGCTGCACATGGTACATCATGTCAAGTGGATTTTTGAGGCCCATTTCACTTCTTTGCATTAAGAACTGAGACAGTGTCCATCGAACCCCACTGAAAATAAAAGCATAAACATATAAATATAAAAATCAGTCAAGGTTTTACTCAGCTAATAAATGTGTCCATGTTGGTGTGTAATATTTTGAGGAAGGATTGGTTTCTTCACACTTATGACCCAACCCCCCGTGTTTCTTCATTCTCTAAATGACTTGACCCAAAAATCGAAAATTGAGATGTTGGTGGTTCGGTGTTGATAGATGCATCTCATTGCAAAATGACAAGTAGAAAAACAGGGTTTTAAGGCCTTAACAACAACGAGAAGTCCAGTCTTTCTAAAAAAGAATCAAGCGCCATACAAATTCTTGAACTTTTCCATAATTTTTCCGCTGACATTTTAATTTTCAAGAGAGGAAATGTGAGAGATTAAGGAAATAGAGGATTCCCTCTTTATAAATTTGATCTGCTGTTGGAAAGAAGCATAAAATAAAGGTTTAGGGTTGAGTCGCCATATTCTTCAATGATTTTTTAGGCTAATGGTAGATCTTCAATTCTTCATACATTTCCGGGTAATTCACATCTCAGGAAAGAAAAGGGGCCCTAGACCCAAGTCGAAGACATTAAAAATTACCTTGAGATAGAGCCAAGTAAAGCAAGGATGAAGCCAATAAAGTGAAATTCAGCTGAATGGTAAGTGAACATGGCTAGGCCTCCTGATATCATCATAACAATCAAGACAATCGACCATGACTGAAAAAAAATTAGAATCCAAAACTAGTAGCAACAAATATATGAGCACTTTCAATGCGCATCTCTTAATTCGAGTTACAGGATACAGTTTCAATATGCATTAAAAAGATAGTTGAGCCTTGAGTTTTATCAATACCTCTTCGATGATGGTTGAATTTGAATCTAAAATGTGTGTATAAAAAGCCCCAATTGAAAGTAAAACTTCTGATCCTGGTTACGGAAAAGTGTCGTTCAAAAGAGGAGAACTTGCTTCCATGTGCATTCAGATAGGATTTTAGCATTTATTCGCTAATTTTTATGCAAAAATAAAGATAGGCTATGCATGGAGCTCAGGATGGTATCCAACCTGTATCAAGTTGAATCAGCGAGTTGTAATGTTGTTCACACACAGGTCTTCAACGCGTAACAATCAATTCGGATTAAAAAATATGTGATCAACCTGCATTAAAACGCTCATATGAACACAGCTAGAGACTGATTAGTTAAGCAGGTAACTAGGTTTCTGAGCTACTGAGTGCCCTTTAGATTTGAGGTTCTTGAAAAGACAGAGGTAGACTCACTTATAGAATCTATCACCTAAAAATTTGATAATTTATTAAAGTTATTTCTCATGATGGATGATTCAAAATTCAAAATTTTGCAAAAATTGAGGTAACATTGGAGGTGCTGGGTGCACGAAGGGCGCTTCTCTGTTGCAGTGTTTCAGAGTCTCTGCTAATATTTCATTAATGGTAAGGAAAACGAATGCGAGCATTTCATTGAAATTTTTACCGAACATTCTTCATGATTTTGTGATGTTTTGTGGACAAACTTCTGGAAGAAAGTACCAGCTAGGTTCTTCTTCAAGACATGGATTCTACGCCACAATCAAGAGGTGCCCTCCACGCACCCAGCGCCTCATTTGATGTTAGGTATGAGAGCTCCGGAAATTACGCGTTATATGGCAGGCCATTCCTGCAAAAGAATGAAAAGGCTGCCACCAGATAGCTTGAATAGTGAAAAGTACAGTTACTCATGGCTCTTCAGTTTATTAAACTAAGTGCACTACGCAGTGGAACTGTACTGTTGTAAAAATGAAAAAAATAGAAAAACTTGAAGAAACTTATTCATATCTACCTTTTCCTCAAGATGTAGTAAAAGAGCGAAAAAAAGGATGAAGATGACAGATGTGGATTTAGTCATTGCATACCTGGAAAAAACAAGGAACCAATATATAAGGAGCTATAGAGAAGAAAAATATGACAAATTAAAGTCTCTGCGTCTGAGAAAGCTTCAACAGGAACAGATATGAATTAAGGAAGATTGGGAATTTCGTTTCGGAAAATATTTCTTAAGGAAAGAGATACCCGCAAGAAGAGTAAGATTAAAATTAGATGAAAGTTAAATTGTGATAAGTATTACCTTTATGACTAAACAAAGGTATCATGATCATCAAAGGTAATGATCATGTTTTTCTGCATTACTTCAGTGCTTAGTGTTTAATCATAATGACAAGGAACCGAATGACATGAGTTTCGAATAGAAAAAAAAAGAAACTGAATAATAGATCCTTCCATGAGGCATATCTGACATAAGAAATAATCTTATGGTCAAATATTTATGAGCTCCTTTTTTTGTGCTGGAATTTACCTACTTTTCGTGAGGGGAAAATTTGCCTCTGAATGTACTTGACAGTATACTTGGAACAATTTTCTTCAAGATATAACTTTGTTCCTGTTCACTGGACGCTGACCATTTGATATTACTTTTGTACTGAGCCAAAAAGGCTATAAATCCTATTTGAGTAAACGGGCCTCTTACAGAACCTATTAAGCTTGCTTATATCATTCACATAATTGTTTTACAGATTTGTTGGAAAAATTGTGAATTTATTTCATTTCTCTTTAGATAAACTCTGAAGGAGAGGTCTTGATGGATTTAGAAAATACTGGAATGGTGCCAGTTGGGGAGGTTGAAAGTTATGCAAGGACACGGACGAAAACTACCCTGTGCACGTATTATGTATGTTCTTGAATACTTACAAAGAAACAGCAATAAATTCTAGACTCCAATTAGAGAACCCTATGTCCAGACCACTAGTAACACCAACTGGTGCAATTTTAAGGATAGAATTCTGCCAACTGAGAGATTTTCGCTTCCTTGAGGTGATTATTTCCCACAGCTTTCTGAAGATAGCACTTAAAAAAAACTTCAAGATGATGTGAACTGTCACTATACTTAGGGGAAATTTGCATCGCTGTAAACAAAATAAAAACAAAAAGAAGGTCAGTAGGTATTAATATAGAATCTGAATTTTCCAAATGCAATAATGAGTCAAGATTTGAAAATTTTTCTTTCCTACAAAGTGGTAACAGAATTAGTATTGTAGAATCATTCTGAAATTAATAGTTCGCGCAACATGTCAGATTTTGCCTGAAAAGCATGAGGTTTCAAACATAAGGTGCGTTCGTGGTTTACAACGGGCCTCAACGAAAATTACCCGGTGAGAGCGTTGCGAGTTTAACGATCGTTTCTGAACCTCCGTTATACAAAGCTTTTGAAGTATCATGGTGGTTCAACAATCACCGCAACAGCTCAGCACCTTTTGCGGCTGGTGAATGGAGCATTGAGCGTTGAGGAGGTAAACAAAGTCTTAAGACAGTACTCAAGCCTCAGTTGGACAACAGGTAACTCCGCGGGTAATTCACTGAAATAATCTCCGTTGTCTATCACGAACGCATCTATAAATAAATAGCTAATGCAGCTATAGTCATGAGTGATTTAACTTACCGCAATAAGCCATTTTTGGTAATAGATGAGGCTGATAGACAACACGAAGTATGATGCTATCACAGAGATGGTGGTTAGCAGAGAGTGACTCTTGGACAGTACCGAACCAGGGGTGAGCGGCTCACTAGAGGTGGAGCTATCCATCACCATACGAGCCATAACGAGATAAAAAAGGGTAGGAATTAAGATACTCTTCCTTTTACAGACAAAAGAGAGCGGAGGAATAACTCATTTTAAGGTTACACCGTAACACTCTCACACTGAATGAGAGCATTAGAATGAATGTTTTACAGTTACCAAAATTGGAATGATACGTTGACAACATCACAAATAGGTTTGTAAGTAAGTCTAAAGGTAAAATCTGAACGGATAATGGAAAATTTCGCCGAACTGTCAAAACTCAGAGCATACGGTTGAGTTGGAAATGTAAATAAACAAATCTGAAGATGTGGCGGCCGGAGAGGGGGGGAAGAGCTCATTGGAGAGGGGAGCGCTCTCTATCGAGCACTCTTATTGGCACTCCTGATCCAGCGCGGCGATTTTCAAATAACCAACGCCAGAATCAGTGGTAATGTGTTCTCAGCCAGCCCCTACAAAGTCTATAAAATTTTGAAACCTTCAGTAGTAATTAAAAGAAACTTGAAATATTTTTGTGATTATTGTCAAGCTACGATTTGGATGTGTTTTTCAACAGTATAAAAAAGTTCAATTAACATCATCTATACACTATGAAAATAAAATCAAAAGGCTAGAAAGTCATCGGTCATATTATTCAACTTGCACTCTAATCAAAAATCGATTCTCACTAAAAATAAAAAAAATGAGAAATTGTCATTTTTTGCTGTAGGACGCATGACGGTAATATATCTCACTGCACTGGCAGGATTCCTCAGCTACAATCAATTTTCATCATAAAATATGGACCTTTTTTTGTCAAAAAAACATTGTAATAACTCCTCCTTTCAAATGAAATTTCAGTTAGTATCTCTGAAATGAAGTATAGGTTTCGATAATGACATTGCAGGAATAGGCACCTCAGCTTGCTACGTTTTGCAGGCTCCCATGTCATACTTCATTGTTTTAATAGAAATACATTTGATGTCATTTCTTGAAAACTTCCCTGATTTTTCTTCTCTGCTTGAAAAATAATACATGACTTTTTCAAGCATTGAAGTGTATTTCTTCTCTTTTGATAAAATTAAGTGGGAGGGGAGATTCTGAAACACCATTACCAAGTTACGTGTTCCTGAAATTTCAGTGTAGATGCCGCAAACAGCAAAGAAAAAGATTAGAGGATATTCAATTCTAAGCTTCATTTTTCAAGTATCTTTTGTCAAAAAACGTAGTGATAACATAAATCCAGGTATCGGCCGATATTCGCCCTTGACAACACACCCCAATAAGTAGCCACGGTTGGAACTTCTGCGACAATATTGTAAAAAAGTTGTAACTTTTCAACGTAATTTTTGTTACAACAAACGAACTCACTATAGAGCACGTTTGGCAGAGTGCTCATCAAGCAGCACGTCAGATGGCCTGACAAGCAACTTGACGTGCGGTCTGAATGCTCCTTTAAGGTCTGCATTCTATAATAATCTAAAGGTTACAAGGTGTAATAACAGATGCGACATAGAATAGCTTGATGAATAACTGATTGAATAGGGCAACTGCATTGACAAACAATTGAGAAAACCTTATTTTGAAAATTACCTAGAAGATTTTATTCAATGAGTAAATTGAAATTTGTTTTATAATCATTGTATTTAAAGAGATTTAGAAATGTAAATTCCAATCATACTTATAATCATTACTTATCGATCAACTTATGAAACAAATAACATCACAGATGTGTCATAAAAAAATAGATATTAGTTTACTTGAACAAGAATGGTCATACTCAACCATAATTAATAACATACATATATAAATAACTTAATTGAAATTATGATGAGACCAGTGCGTCACATCGGTTCCTCACTAATCACTCTAGAAAAGTATGGGGCTCTTTATGATAGAAATCCCAAGGGTGCAGAAAATGTCACATCTTATAACCCTAGGATTAGGGTGAACATCAGTTAAAAAAAGTAGGGAATTTCGGCAGAAATGTCGCGGAAGTTGGGGAATTTTGGTAAAAGTTCTAGGCAAAATCGGAAAGTCAACTGTGCAAAAAAACTGCAAAAAAACCTGAGGTGGTCAGTGCTTTGAAACTCTCTGCAACCCTAAAAAGTTCTTTGTTCAAAGTGGGTCAAACTTCCCTGGTGGTCATGAAAAATGATTACAAATGAGGGACTGAGGGTCAGTAAATAAAATACTGCAACTCATCTCCTGAAGATTTTGAGGTAAAATAACTAATTTATGATTAATTCAATGGACTGAGCAGTTTTCGAAAAAGTGATGATACACTACAGGTCAAAATAAAGTTTTTTCTTCTTTGATGAACTTCTGATAAAAAGATTCGGGTCTAAAGTTAAAGCCCTTTGAAAACTTGCGATGAATGATTCCTGATTTTTCCCCCATCAATCTTAGTGATAATAACAAAAATAAAAAAGGAACCCTCCAAGACTTTCTAATAAAATAAAAGCACTTAAAGAATCAAACATTCCCTCTCGGGGTTAGTCTATCAATTCTGGACACAGCTCATGATTTCGCAACTAGTCTTTAAAAATTTGTTTGAGAGAAGAGAGCTTTTAAGCATTTTTACAAAAAACGAGATCCCTAACATAGGAACATGGTGTCTGAAGACTTGGGCGAGGTATGGGCAAAAATCTAGGAATGTTGCAATTGAGATATTGATGGCTTAAGTAAAAAATACTTATTTCCCATTGCAATGTTGATAATTTCAGCTCATGTTTTACGTCATTCACAGAGAGGTTAACCAACTGTCTCTTTTGAAATTTTGTGTTAATTTCTCTCAATTAAACAAAAATGTTCACAAACATTTCAGGGAGATATTTTTGCAAGTTTTTTATTTTCGAAAAGTAAAGCATAATCAGGGATTGTTATATATATAGTAATGGCCACACACAAACATTCACACACCCTCCCCCCCCCCAACACATGGTACACATTCATTGGTCGTCCATTTGTGGTTCGAATTCAGCTATCAAAAAATAATTGCCTGACTCTTCTTTTCAGGTAGGTGATGTGCAGACAAGTGTCAAAAGAAAAAAAAAACACCTTTGTTTATTTTAAAATCGAATTCAAGATTCTAAATTTTCCTTTTCAAAGATAGTTTTTAGTGTATTTTCCGAAGAAAATACACTATTGTTTAAATCTTTGTCTTCGCATTTAAAAAAACTTATACAGGTAATTGCAGACAAACAGTCGCATTAGACATTTTGTGAAATGTTTCAGGGAATAATCACCTGATCCCATAATAATGTGATAATGTGACTAGATTTTTACTAATTTCCTCTATTTCCTATTATTTCTATTTTTTCATAGTACAATGTAGATGCATTATTCTTTTTTGTTTGTTGCTTTTGTACATGGATTTTATTTGTAGTGATTGGTTAAAATTTTAATAAATAGATAAATAAATAATCTCTTTCAGAATTGAGTTTTTTATTTTTCCCCCAATTTTTGACAAAATAATTCTTTTTCTTTTTTTACAAAGAGAAGAATTCTCTGGTAGAAGCTGCATAATGCTAGGTGATGCTAGTGATTTTTTACTCTTTACTGAAACTTCATAACAAAATTTGATTCTGAATCATTCATTCTCTCCTTCACTCCTTCATTCCAAAAAAGTTTCTCTAATATTGACAGTTAAAATATAATCACGTATAAAGATCATTTTGAAGAGAAAATACAAAAAAATTCTATAGTTTGATGGATTTTAACTTTCAAAATATGTATCGAAAAATTGAGGGTTCTATGTCACAAATATGTAGAACTTTGTAAACTTTAAAAAAACTTCACTCTCTGCCTAGGCATTCAACAAAATGCTTGATTTGACTAATGGGTCAGTTGCGCTGGTCACAGAATCATGTTTTGATGCTTGATTTTTGTAGATTAACTAAAAATAATAAGATCCGTCCAAACAGCAACTCTCTACCTTGAAAATTAACCAAGATATCACGCTTTGAAAAGTCGGGTTTTTGACGTCATCCACCATGATATTGACACCCTTGGTTCCTGCCACCTTGCTTTCATCAGAGTTTTACGTTGAGTAACCAGTGCAAATAGTGTGACACTGACTGATGAAAGCAAGGTGGAAGAAACAAAGGGTGTCACTACCGCGGTGAATGACATCAAAATCCCAAAACACAATTCTGTGACCAGCGCAACTGACCCATTGCCTGTAATATACAGGTGGACAAATAAAGCAAATGGGAAAAATCTGATCTATCTTTTGCAATGGGCCTGTTGCAAACTTTTGCTAGAGCAAAAATAAGAGTTGTTTCTTGTAGATAATGCCTCAAAAATCACGATGAGCGCATCGACAAAGTCTGATATGCACTCATAACTTCACAATCTGCGTAAGAAATTTGCGTTTTTTCAAGCTTCCCGCTTCAAAAACGATACTACGGCGTAGGTGAACATTTTGTTAGAGGAGTGGCTCCATCGTCGGCGATATTCATCATGGCCGACACTTGCGCGCAGTTTTGCGCGTAATTCGAGGAGAGTTCAAGGTCAATCAATGCGGGCGTGGAAAACATGAACGTTAAAACACGCCGATTGTTATCTGGTCTAATCCAGTTCAGGTATTATCTCGTCCCATCACACGTGTTTTGGCGGATTGGCGTCGGCCATGATGAGTATTGCCGACGATGGAACGACTCCTCTTACAAAATGTTCACCTGTGCCGTAGTATCGCTTTTGAAGCGGGAAGCTCAAAAAACCGCAAATTTCTTACGCAGACTGTGAAGTTATGAGTGCATTTCAGACTTTGCCGATGCGCTCATCGTGATTTTTGAGGCATTATCTATAAGAAACAACTCTTAGTTTTGCTCTAGCAAAAGTTTGCAACAGGCCCATTCCTGTAGAGTTTTGGGTATAATTTTTAATCTTGATTTTCCTCAATTTTCAAGTTCTGTGGACACCCTGAAAAAAGATTATACTGGACAAACACAAATAGATGACAGCTATCCCTTTGTAGATAACCGATTACAATACATACAAAATTTTACAGCAGTTTTCTGATGTAGATTTTGCTTTACAAGTTATGAGCTTTGAAGACAGCTCATTCTAGACTTCTGACAAATTTCCTAGTCTTAGACTAACAAAACACATGCGATAATTAGTATCACAGATACCATGAAATATTAAAATAGTTTGGTAATTTCAACGATTTTTTACTACCTAAATTGCTTCAAGAGTGATAGGAAAATCACTTCTTTCAGCAAACGAAAGCTGATGACATATATTTTCCGCAAGGCTCTAGACAATATATTGATGATCTAACAAGTCACTCTCCTCACTAATAAAGGTTGTCCAAAATGAGCTAAAACTGATGCTCTAGCTTTTGAACTACGTCAGTTGAAGAGCTAATCTTGGTTGCGTTTGAAAAAAATTACTCATTTTCTATCAGTTGACATCAAGTCTACCTACTTTATCGGGTCAAAAATCTGCTTTGTTGTAAAAGTTTGAAAAAAAAAAGGAAAAAAATGACCCTTAACCACCAAGAGTTCTTCAAAAAACTATTTTCTGGATTGAAGAAGCTTGGCGACATAAAAAACAACTGTGTGTTTTGTTGGCTACAAAACAAGTGGCTACATTGTTCAGCATTGTTCGATTACAGCTGTAATCGTGATGATGAGATTTGCACTGTCGAGGAACATGTTCAGACTTACATACAGAATTCTTCCGAGTCAGATGTTCACGAGTGAATGCTTGCAGTTTTCTGTGTGATCAGTGCTTTTCATTAGAACTTGATTCTGCGTTTTAGTAATACTTCACAAAGAGTCTTTTTTTTTAAAGCTTTTCATCCTAATTCATACCAAGACACAAAATTAAGTTCCAATGAAAAGCACTGATCACACAAAATGCTGCTAGCACTCACTCACGAATACCTGACTGAGAGACCTCTGCACATAAGTCTCAACATCTCACCCGACAATTCGAAAGTTGTTGCTGTGATTATGCCCACAATCTGTTACCGCCAAACAGTGCTGTGTTCTATGTTGCTAGGTATATTAAGTTTATAAAGTTTCGGAAAATAGTTTTTAAGAACTTTTTCTGGAAGAAACATCCATTCTAAAAACAAAGGAGGTTTATTAATTTTTTTTTTCAAACTTTCGAATCTGCAAATTTTTGATTGTGTAAAAAATATTTGGCATTAATTCACAGAAAATGAGTTTCTCTTTCAAACATAACTGAAATCAGTTTTTTAGTTGCCTGCTGCCTAGGTCAAACGGTGCAGCACCAGTCATTTTTTTTTTTTTTTTTGGGACAGCCTTTGTAATTTGAATTTTATTTTGGCAGAAAAACATCTTAAAAATTCTATCAGCAGTTATCCAAAATATCAGCTTTAAATGGATGCACAGCAGTCTTTCACTGGATAAGCTTAAAAAGGTTCATTAGACTGTTTTAGACATTACTTTATCTAAAACCATGGATGAACTGGGCGTCAATAATTTTGTGCGTTCGCTCAAGAACATAATATTTGAATTACTTGCGGGATAACCTATTCAAACATATAAAACTTACAGATGTCTGCAGGCGAAACTATTGAGTTTTACCATTGTCGGTTTTTTTTATTGTGTAGGAATCTGTGCTCAGTAGTTTGTTTTGACTCACACAGTCAAGAACCCATTTTTCTTGCACGTTTAAATTTCCAGTAACATTGTTCCCAATAACAATTTTGGCAGATTTTGCAGAGCTTACAACTGTTGCAGAGCAGAGTCGCAAGATTTCTTTGAGATCGTCTCGCGGCGGGACTGTTTTCTGGCAAACGTAAATGCTGCCGCAAGGTGAAAATATGTCCAGAGAGAATAAAAATTTATAGCACTGCCTCTGCAAACGCACTTCCTGTAATCAGAGAGAATATTAAAGGTATGAGACTAGAATACAATAAAACAAAAGTATTGTGAAAAAAGAGTGGCCGAATAACAGAAGATAATTTGTATTAATTTCTTAATTGGCCATTTGTGGCTTGTTAGAACACCATCACAGCTGAGCAGGAATTGCTTTCAGAGCTGCCTTTTTTCGTGTGGTAGACTTGAGGTTGTTTCCACAATGGCCAGGGTTATTAAGAGTTTGAGGTGCTTTTCCCTCCAATTACAATTTTTTGCTCTCAAAATTTACAAGGGAGACATGTACCTTTATTACAGGCGAAAATTCTGTCAATTCGTATGGCTCTTCATACAACCAACGTCCAGCTTTAAACGAGTCCAGTGCCTGGAAAAAAAATACAAATTGATGAAACTGATACAAAGAATAAGCTGTTACACATCATTTTTTATACAATTAACAGGTAATAAAAATAAGATGAACAGAGTCATTGGATGGGCTGATTCTTTGCTCTCACTGGAAACCTCAAGATTAACAAGTTTTTTAGAATTTATAAGTTGAAATAGAGAAATTGATTCAACTAATGGACTACTAGACAAGGGGTGAATTCAAGCATTATTATATATGTTTGCTCATCAAAGTTTCATGTGGAACATCATTTGGATTGCATTTTGCAAAAAGGAACCAGGAGCATTGCAATGTTGCTAAGATTGAGCAACTTTTTTTGTCTTCAAAGAAAGACCTGATTATCTATTAACAGTCTCTATTCTACTCACTAAAAACTGTAAATTAAAGGCAAAAATTACCCTGTAAATTTCATGTTTTTTCATGGTTTCAGTAATTGCATTGCAAAGTATGAAAATGCACAATCTTAGCATCATTGCAATTCTTCTGGTTCCTTTTTGCAAAATGCAATCCATTTGTGCAACTGAAATTATTGACAGTAACTCCTGACCAATATATTAACGTTTCCTGATATATACATGCAAACTACTAATGCAAGAAAAAATCATACTATCTAATTGAGATAAATCGCACACGAAACGTTACCGTGACAAGTCTCTGCAGTATGTATTGAAATATGGCAATCTTAATCTTGGCACTTCGGCTCAGCTACTGCACATTGTTTACACTTTGAAAGCACAGAGCAGGGAAAGCACACTATTCGAATAAGAAGCCTGCCAAAACATATGTAGTGCACAATTTAATTCATGTAGACTCTGTGTTCTCTTGCAAGTAGAAAATGCAAAATTTTCAAAACCCGTGTTAAATAAAAACATTAATATCTTGGATCAGAGTTAATTTCAGGGCTGTTTTGTGGTTAAGAGAAATCTCAGTCAGAATTAGAAAATGTGCAGACAGCAAGCTCATTGAAAAATTATTACCCCCTGATACCTGAACAATTATAACAAGGTACTAGACAGATGACTACACATAACTAGGACAAAAAAGAACATTTAGAGTTTGAGAGGGCTTGAAGTTACAGTGTAAGATACCCATGTAAGATACATACCCATTCCTTCCTGACAATCCAGCAGCCTCTCGCCATGCCTTTGACGAGATTGAGAGTCCTTCTGGGGCCACCTGCTACCACATGTGTTGTCTGGGGGTTTACTTTGGTTGCAGTTTCAAAGAGCCCAAGCTTCCCTACAATTGTATTTACTTCCACTGATTCACTGCAAACGTAAAACAATGATTAGAACCATAGTTATGGGACAATTTGTGGGTGGGGAAAGGTAATGGCAAGCAATTTAAATGCACAGATACAATTTCTTATCCCTGATCCTGACGCTCAAATGAAACATAGAATTCAAGCTATACGTAGTAAAGTGCCTGTTTCTTACTGATTCAATTGTGTCAATGAGTGACTGAATAGCAAAATTGCTTGATTTTCCAGAAAGTGAGACATCAAAATTGAAAAAAAAGAAGGCAACATATGGTTGCATGCACACTGATAAAAACTGATACATAATTATAAATCAATACGTGCATACATCTGTTGATATGTATTTACAGTAGATATGAAGTCCACTGAGGCAAAAATTTCAGAAAAGCGTTTTCCGACGAGTTGGGTTGAAAAATCGGACTTGTAGATTAAATAGTGCACTCTCTGAAGAGTCCTGAAGACTAGGTGCAGAAAAGTTTCTTAAGTTTCTACCAACCGAGAGTGTAAGTTATATAATATTTTGAAGATCCTGTACCTTAAACATTGCCTCTTAATTTACCACCATAACTCCACTTTAGTTTCACATTTAGGGGCGTTTTTGGTCTAAAAATGTTTCTAAAACACCCTTGCATGCATTGGTTTTAAAAGGTCAATTTTGGGTTGGACTGCATTTTATTATGAGGGACTACTATTATTAGCTTATTCATGAAAGCATCTGTTTAGGGAAAGTAATGGCACTTAGGTTGATTTTAAAATGAGCCAGAAATTTTTCTGAGTGTGCGTATTAATGTTCTTCATTACAAAATGTGGTCAAGTTTTTGTAGCATAAGGTCCTTTTGCCAGTGGATGGTCAGAATAAAGAATAAATAGTATTCCTACTAACTGCTACATTAACTGAACAAAGGTACATCATGAAGGGACTGACATTGAAGAAAACTCTTCAGAGAACTCTGAAACAGTGAGAGAATCTTACTTGGTATGCAAACTTGTACAGACAAGTACAGGTTTGGGAAGAGTTTTATTTCGGCGAGGTGTTGCGAACCAAGCAGCTGAATTCCGCTCTTCCTCATCTGATGACATGAGACGGTACATCTCACTGTAGCGGGAGCCACTTGATGCGGTGCTACTTTGAGATGAAACTTTAGTGGTTGAGGTGGGAGGAAACTTTCTCTTTTTAGGCGAGCTCTCAGGAGGCAGAGGCTTCATTCGGGGCACTGGTTTTCTAATCGACAGATCTTCTACTGGTGCATCCAACATTATTAGTTGTGAGGTCTGCAGAAGTTTCCTCTTGACAGCACTGTTGAAAAATTAAGCCAAATTAAAAGTTTTAATTATTGATTTATGAAACAAATGAATCTGAATATTATACCATATACCAAATTAGGAGTCACCAAAAAATGGCTTTCATACTTTTGAGGAGCAGCCTCTCCTATGATTCCTCCAGGGGGAGGGGTGCAATTTTTCAGATCATCGGAAGACTAGTGAGATATTCCCCGTAATTTTCAATCATAGTAGCTCTTCTTTTCTCAATACCAACTGATGAAAAAGCATTTTTAGACCATAATTTTACAAATCTTCAGAATATGCTACTGGAAATGAGTGAAATTAATTTCTGCAGTTCAGCACTTTTTAAACTTAAACAATGCTTGTTAAACTGAAGTATATTGGTTATACTTCAGTTTCCAACTTTTCTTTTTAGTTTAAGCTCATAATAAATGTTTTTGAGTGACCAACATTTCATGTAAATGATTACACTAGTATAGTTCGTTTAACATCCGAAAGATAGGATTATAGCGGTATGTGCCACAGCTGTTATCAAAATAAGTGTGAATGACTCAAAATGAACTTTTCAGCACTTAGCCTGTCATTGATGATAGCTGCAGAAATTGAGAAGTATCAACATCAAACAGCAAAACCCCCCAAAAAAACCAAAGAGTAAATTGGAAGTAACATTTGGTATCTTCTACGTGAGCACAGCATTAAATGAAGTAATTAAAACTTTTAACAGGAATAACAAATGTTGATGATACTCAATCAGTTCTCACCTGTTCATTTTACTGGGCGGTTTCTGGGTTTTACTTTCTATTTTTGTGTCCATGTTGATCCCGGCCTTAGCTCTGTCAACGTTCAGATTTTCCTTGTTTTCGACCTGCTGCGTCTTCCTCTTGTTAACAATGACAGTAGGTTTCTGAACCAAAGATTTTTTCTGTGTGGTTCCTTTTGCATTTTTTCGTCGCTTCTTACGTGATGTTAACAGACGCGCAGGGGCTGATTTACGGATGACTTTTGGTGGCTCCACTGGAGAAATGGTGTCGTCTTCTGATTCTGACTCTTTGTCAGTTTTTGATGATCTATTGGCAGTGCCTGCCTCGTCTTCGCTAGAGAACACAAGGAATTTACGCAGTCTTGATCGTCCTTTCGGATTTAAGTTTAAGTGCTTCTCTAACTCACTGACTCTAACTTGAGTGAGCTTACTTTCTGTTTGAGTGCCTCGAGGAGTCATATATCTGAAAAATAAAACCATACATGGAGTGTTTACTGACTTTTACACAAGATGAGACTATCATTTTGGTTCAGACGGTAATTCATCAGGTTTTGTTTGGATTTTAATGGAGGTGTATTTCCTTTCGGAAAATACATGATTGCGCCTATAGAATTGGCTTCCGCAATTTTAAAGACGCAGGTGATAACTTGACAAATGATGAAAGATCTCAGAGAAGTTCTTACTAAATTGTAGGACGTTACAATTCTTTGCATACTTGACAAAGATATATCAGATGAAAGAAAAAATTGCAATTCCTTCATTTGATGTATTTTTGTTTTCAGGAATTGTAACTTACTGAAATGTATCTGAGCCACTCTGAGATATTCACTTTTTTGTCAAGAAGATAAACTTAGATACTTCCCTGATCAATCAATTAATAGTGATCACAATCTAAGAGTAAGATAAATAAAAATTGGTCACTGGAATTTCAGCCAACATTCCCAAATGGTTACGTTCTGAATGCATTTTGGTGAAGAAGTTTAGTGCTGTATGGAACTAAAAAAATTTAAGTTGGAACAATAATTTGAATTAAGGGAGAAAAATGTTAATAATGCAAAGATACCCATGTAGTCTTGGGAAAATAATTAAAAATTATTTGGAGTATTGGAATAAATCATTAGTTTTTAAAAGTGCATATTCCACTTTTCATGTGATATTGATAAATACAAAATTATATTCTTTAGCAATTTTTTTCTCAATTTTTTCAATTGAAACTAAATATGGTGGGAGCAAAACAAACTAGTGTTAAAATATAGAAGCTTGGAGCACTTCAAGAGGCCACGTTTACACTTTTTAAAGTTTGCCCACAGGTTGCGAAAACATGAAGGATTTCCATGGGAACTTCATCATAATACCCCTATTATTGAAACGCTACATTTTAAGAGGAAGAAGGCCCTCGAAAAGAGCCAATTTCATTCACTAGATAAAAGTTGGATGTAAAATATTTGGAAAGCTGAAAATACATTAATTTTGATATTATTTGGACTTATACCTTCATATAAATTCATGTTTTTAGAAAATAAACTGGTAAAGTCACATTAAAATCCACTCCTGCAGTGAGTCATTCACTGGAACCCCAATTTTTTAACGAACACTCATGTTACTTTTGTGGTTTCTCCTCAGGGAGACAGATAAACAAAAGAAAAACAAAGCAAAACTTGGTCTTACAGCATGAAAAACAAAAGAGTTACGAAGAATTGCATAGAGGCAGTGAGAGTATTGCGAACTGAGGGGAGAGAGGGTCACCGAGAGGGAAAAGTTGATTTGGACGTTGGCTGGAAATAACAAAACAAAAGAAATGAAGATTTGGAAATGGGTGGCAAAATTTCAATTCAAAAGAAAGAATGGTTATGACTCAAACATTTTTTCAATCCTAAAAGGGAGAAAATGAAGAAAAAACATCTGCAAACCTACTTCTTTAAAAGCCTCACAGACAGAGGAAGAAAGAGATCTCCTTCGTTTGTCGGGCTATCAGATCGATTCAGAGCTTCCTCCAAATACGGCCCAGCCAGCGTTAGGAGTGTCTGCAAATATTTATCCTGCTCAAAAACGGACAAATTATGAGACGGTGGGAAATAAATAGAAAAGTTTACAATCAGAAGCAAACATTATTACTACCCTCATTAAATAAAAATTAAACAGCATTGCACTTCATGATACTTAAACTAGCTTCAATACTAATTTTTAAAATAATTTTATCTCGAAAGTCGAAAAGTGCCCCAACAAACGAACATATAGGAATCTGCGGGATTTAGGCAGGGGGCCCAGGGGGGTAGGAGGATTCGCTTTATGACTGTCACTGATATTACGAGCTTATTATACAATCAATTCTTGTGATTGTGATCTCGAACGTTTTTGTAAATGGCTAGCTTTCATAATTTTAAAGTCCCATGGAGCAATTTTTTAGTTTCAGGCAGTTTTAGCATTATTTCGTCAATTGTTCATTTTGGAGGTTATGTTTGTTTGTTGGGGCACATTTCGACTTTCGAGATATCGAACCAACAATATCGCTCCGTGACGTCACCACTAAATTGGTCTATACATGTTTTCTTATGACTCCAGTGAATGTAAGGCAATTATTGGGCCATAGAGCAATTTTAAAAAATGATGACCCCCCCTTATTCTTCTGTATGTACTCTAAAAAGAGGAGCAAACTGAAAATTGTATAATTTATATTGTATAATTTAATATTCTCATGGTGAGAATACAAAATAACAACTTAAAGAAAAAAACAACAACGACAAAAAAAATCACAAACCTCGAATTTGGGATCATTTTTTAACTCCTTATTAATTTCATTTAAGATGCAGCGGTTCCCTTTGGCAGGAACAGAGGAGGGCTCTTCAACAGTTGTTCCTAATTTATTCACTTTTCTTGTCGATCGAGCCGGCAGTCTTCTCACATCCCCAATTGGCTGAATGGAGCGTTTTTTCTAGGGTAAAAGAAAAGTAAAAAATATTGGTGACATATCGCTTCTCCCAGAGACAAACCCCTGGTCAGTTCTTACATTTTGGAAAAAATTAAAATATATTGGTTTTAATTTTCCTATACTCCATGAGTATTTTTATTGTAAAAAATGAGTCACAAATTATTTTTTGTATTGATATTCAAGGTATGATTTGCTTAAGACTTGTGTTACTTATACCTTTACGTTGAACTGCTGGTGAGACGTCAAGTACATTTAATGGTGAATAGAATTTAATCATGAAGCAGCCAGTTGCATATTAACAAACAAAAAAAAATAATGCGCAAAAGATCCATTAAACATGAATAAAACATAACATTAGATTCCTTATATCAGAGTTCAAAGTCGCATCAAGAGATGCAACCAAGAAATAGTTTTAGGTTTTATTCCTTCATAAGATTCAGGGTTTAGCACAGGGTTTAATGACTAATTTCACGTTCAAATATTTTCTCTTGACTTTAGATTTTTGGCAGAAGAAAATTGACACCTAGTTGAATTGAAAACTACTTCCAATTCATTTTTTTCTTTAATTTCCGGGAGAACTTCCTTGAATTTAACTTGGATCTTGCTTTTGGACACTCTAAATCTTTCAGCTGAGATTTGATACAGATTTTTTAGAAATTAAAATATTTGTCGACTTTAGGACAACTTTAAAAGCTTTTTACATTTTTGTAGAGTTTAGGCAGTTTGAAATTTTCACAAAATTTCGACACAAATATATTCGTCGATTTCCAGTCTTTGGGTACTTTTTAATTTTTTATGAACATATCTGAAAATGAAACTTTATTACCAGCTGTAATCTTAGGATCCCACGTAAGTCGAGAGAAAAATGACACCCTGCATAAGATTGCAGCTGACTAAATGGTTCATGGGCATATTTTTAAAAGCTAATTAGGAACTTACCCTGAAGCGTTTGAAGGGTAAGGCATTTTTATAACGGTCTATGTCAATAGGTGGGAACTCTTCTGCTGGTACAACTTTTCGTTGGCTTTTGCATGCTTCAATCCATAGTGCAGACACCAAAGGTACTCCCCATCGTTCAGCTTTTTTATAGGTTGACATTAGGCCTTCTTTGAAGATGACATGGGTTACCTGAGAAATCAAAACATGTGTTAGGTTGTCTTCTTAAGGTGTACCTTGTTTTTGTCATAAATTTCCAAACCTAAAAAGTTGTGCAAAGGACGCACATTTCTAAGAGACCTTTGTACCTACCAGGGCCCTCTTAATGCAGCAAAGGTTACAACCATAAATCCATTAATATCATCATATATTTGAGATAATGGTTTAGCATGAGCTTGATAGAGGTATTCAAGCTCATTTAAAGTGAACATGCTCATATCTCGAGAGAAAATAGTAAAATGCAGAGGAAACTATAACTTCAACTGAAAAAATACAGATATTTACATACTTTCTTAGTAAAGTTTTCTTCAACATGAGCCCCAAGAGTTCGCAAATGGGTTTTGACTCCTTGAGATAGGTTATCATGGTTGGTTCGTACTTCTACATAAGCCACAACTCCTGAAAAAGAAGAAATTTTTCCATGATAACTTAAATAAGTAAACTACATTCAGGATGATAGATGGATGAGTTAAGAAAGGAAACACCCCAATACCTCTAAATGCCCTTGAAAGTGTGCTGGCAACATTAATAATTAATAAGAAAAACTGTACACAGTTTTGAAAGTCTTGAATGAGAAAGCGGCTACTTGGAACAAAACTGCTTAACTAGTTGAAATTGCTTTGAATTAGGTGAAAGAATTCAGAAATAGACTGCTTCTAAAGATTCATGTGGGGGAAAATTTCAAGTATTTCTCTGATACAGTGTTAGTTGAACCAACCTTTTAAGATTGTTGACATTTCTAGAGAAGCTCTCTGAACAGTTAGTCTTTTTGGTCCACCTAGTGAAGTAACAGGTGTTGCTATCTTTGAAAAAAGAGGGGTCCGCAGACCAGCTCCAATTACTGCACTGGAAATTTTCGTCATTCCATATGGAGAAGCTAGGGTTGAAGCTGGCGTTTCAAAACTTGGCGTTTCTGAAATAAAAAGAAATGATACATTAATAGGGGTCACTTTCACATTCATTGCGCTGATCAGAAGGTAGGGACTTCAGAAATCACTTGTCCATAAACTCGGCAAGTTAAAGAATTTTTTTTTTTTTTTTTTTTTTTACATATTTAACATTTTACTGCTGATCTTTGCAGTTACAGAACAACAGAAACTGAATTAGTTCAAAAAGTCAAAATTCAAAAATGCTAAAAAGAGACAACACTATTTGAACCAATGTCATCAGTGAATTTACGCATGAATACCTGCTCCTTGACCGTGGTTAAGCTCAAATTTAAGCAGTACTAAATATTTTTATATAATGGAGAATTTGCACGCAATTTTTTTATTGCTTCATCTGAAAGTGCCTAATGAGCTGAGTTCGCAATATTTTTCATAATTTTTTTCTGACATGGGAAATTGGAGAAAAATTGATTTAAAAGTGAGAAAATGTGCCGCCTTGTGACGTCATCTGGCGGCATTTCCCATTTAAACACATGTATTTTAGCAGAATCGGTTATTTTGTTATATCTCCTCTAATAGTTGCTCAATTTATGAATCAAGGGTATCTTCGTGTTCAGTTCACTCAGAGGATTCCACTGAAACAGGAAATTCATCAAATTTCAGACCCTTGCAAATTCTCCATTGCTTTTGTACATGAAGTGTTGGTTCCTTTATCGGCTATTTCTTCAAAACAAATTGGTCCGATCCCAATAGAATACTTAAAATAATTAAGAGTCTTCGGGTACTTTGAGATACTGAATGTTACTTTTCTGGAGAACTTTGGAGAACTTTTTACATGGGTACACTTAGCTCTCAGAAAGACTTATTATCAAACTATTACATGTTGACAGGATGTAAATCCTGAGGGGGAAAAATATGAAATCTTTCCACAAGTAGAGGTCTAATCTGAGTCAGTGCCAAATTTTTAGCAGATTAATGATTTAAGTACCTGGGCTTGGATGAACATCGACACTCATCGGGACTGGCTTAATCTTGCTTAGATCTATGAAGGAAGGAGGCCGAGCTGGAGTCCTCACAGCGCCTACATCGTGAATTGAGCTATTGGCAGAATCAGAGGCTTTTTTCAGGGAGACTCTTTTTTCAATTAATGCCATTTCTTTCTCCGCTGCCATTGAAGCTCTCTTTATTAACCGTGACTGTAATGTGGACATGTGGGGCGTTGATACGAATTTGGATGAATTAATTGGTGTCTTCTTTGCAGTGCTGCATAGTGCTTGTCTCACATTATTAGCATAGTCCTCGTGATTTCCATTAACTTTCTTCCTCCAATCTGGAGTTCTAAAACTGCGGTTGTCATTAAAGAGTTCGTCCGATCTCTCCGAGTCTATGGAGTCATTGAGGTACGTTGTGCTCCCAACCACTGCCTCCGTTGAACTCTTGCCAAAATATTCGCAATGATCTGTTTCAGAGTAAATACTTTTTCTTTGTTCCGAAATAATGGATGTTTGAGTTGGATGAGAATCCATGGTTGAGCGTGATGAATTTGTTGATTTAGAATGAGAGACCTGGGACTTGGAGGAGTTTGAAGTTCGGCTGCTGACATCATGACGTTGTGCTTTGGTACTCCTCCTTGTCACTCGTGTCATGATTTTTCAGAGGTTCAAGTACCAGGAATGAAAACAGAAGTGTTTGCAGTATGTAGACTTATGTCACTAATTATTAAAGCTAATGACGATAGTTGGTCAACGGAAATAGAGAAGTAAACGCAGCCAGAGCAAATTGGTGTCAGAAAAGTTTGGATGCCCAGCATTCCACATGCTTAAAATACGATGAATCACTTTGATAATTTCAAGCTATACCGTTTCAATAATTAGAGCTGTCTAAGAATTTTGAAGCTAAGCACACAGTCACAAAACAAGACTAACAGGAACTGGAAATAAAACAAAAATGATAAAAAGTAATAATTAGAAATTAAAATTAAACAATTAAACATAACCTCTCAGAAAACCGGTTAGCAGGATGAAAACCTGATTGGACAGTTTCGAGATTGGCGGGAAATTTTTATGTCTACAGCGTGCAAGTTTTTTTACTAATTTTCCTGACTTTGTATGTAAACAAAACAAGTCACTAACCTCAAACCCTGCTCAACATCATACCGAAGACTATAGGACGAAATAAAGAATGCGAAATATGTGATAGTGAGTGCATATGTAATTCGAATGTGATATTTTTTAAAATGCCATTTCCGTGAACCAATTTTTTGCTTTACCTAAATTTTGTGTTTGCCTATCGTAACAACTGTTGCTCCTGAACCACCTTCTCATAGTCACGCAATGGATACATCGTTATCATGGGAAGAAATTTGCGATGCTTTTCCAATTCTCAAGAATAAGGTGAGCATTTCATATTTGTCAGTCATTGAATAATCTATTAACTCATTCTTGTTTTTAAGATGAAAGTTAGAAGTAGCCAGCTACAATTATGTATGATCGTCAAACTTTTGCCATCGAGTTAAGTACTTGTTTTCCAGGCTTGGCTCTTGATATTGGTCTTGTGCAGAGGTTGCAGTAAATTTATCCCCCTCCAACGTTTTTTGCAATTATGGAAGAAGCTTATGGATTTTTTGAGCTTGAGAATTTATAGCAATTGCTGAAACTCAGAATACCCACGGGGCTATGCATACTCAAGCGTGAGTTGATATAGGTATGCACATAGGGAAATGATATGAAAAGATTGTCAAAACTTTGTCACCAACAGCAGAATATCTCTCTACAGTACCTTGCTGCCAAGACCAAAAGAACTGAGAGTTTTCACCAGTGTTTGCTTGCAACACACGCCAGCCAAACAGCAATTTGCCGGTAAGAAATCGCCTTTGGCCGCTTAGTAATGAAACTAGTGACAAAGTCGGGCTGCTAAGAAAATCGTTGTTAAACTCCATTTTTTGGATATTTTTGCGGATTCCTGACTCTAGGCACTTCAAAAGGGCAAACTTTCATTTTGGTCCCCAATAAATCTGAGATAGCCCCAAGAAAAATTTGCAGGCCAGATGGCTGCTAAGACTTCATGCTCAGTTCTAAACACTGGTCTTCACCCTCTGATTTCCTCATTACCTGGTTTCAATAATGTCTTCAAGGTGATTCCAGAGGTCCAGCTGCCACGGCAGCAGAGTGCCCTTTGCTAGATAGCAAATTTAATGGGTTTCACTATTTTGACAGTTACTTAAGCTCATGTATCTTGGGTCGTTTAAAATAACTTTAGCCATATTTAGGTGTACAAGGAGAAGGCTTTTCAAATGCTACCTGCCTCCCCATTGGTGACTAAATAGTGTTCAGGACCTTATGATTTTACATTTTTAGTGTATTTTCATTAGGAAAGTACAGTTTGGTGATCTCGTTTTTTACCATGCTTAAGAAGCCAGTCAGAGGCTTCATGTTAGGTATGAATAAGTATATTGCTATTAAGATTTCTCCACCCAGAACATTCATGATAAAAATAATTTAGGCAAGCATTCTGAAAATACATAACAAAACTAAAAAAAAAAAAATCATAGAAGCATGTCAGACTATGGGAAGTTGTCCCCCAGTAAGCTGCATAAAAAGCAGATCATTTGCATTTTTTATCTTGTTGTCTATCTCTTATTGAACCAAATAAATTGAAATTTTTATTTATTACAGGATCGAAGTGACTGCACTGCTGATAAATTCAACATATTACATGGGAAGATATTAAATTCTGGCTCAGAATGGGAGGTGATAGAGCTTGTGATGGATCGGATTGAGCTAGAGCTTCGTCAGAATGTTGCGCCTAGGTTTTGGGGAAAATTTACCTCTCGCAGCACAGAAATGGAAGGTTTTGAGAAGTTTAAAGAAGCTGTTTCAACGTTGTATGGAACTCTGTCTCTCTTCCTCCCTACTCTTGAGCGCCTTGAAACACTGCGTAACTCTCCCAACAATCCTGAATACATCTGCGGAGAAAAACGACTTCTTGATACTTTCAAAGTAATCACTCGAGCCACTCTGCACTCTCAATTACCCATAGATTATCAGATTATCACAGAGGACTTTTATAAAGTGGCCTTTACTGTGTTCTGTAACACTGACAAATCGGGTAAGTTCTGGACTTTGTTTCTTCGTAATTTTCCTGTACCTATTCCTAGAGCAGGAAAGAATTAAAGTAGGAAATAACTCAAAAATATTGTTGAACTGTTAAGCTCTCCTAATTAGCCATCCTGGCATGTATTAAGGGCTTTTTTTTTATCTCGGATCAGGGTGGATCGCAGTGGAACGCGCTGGATCGGAATCCTGAGCGATCCGGACCGATCCAAGTGTTCCAAGTGATAAAAAAATCCAAACTTGGAATTTGGTTCGATTTGTTATTGTTTTGATTTTTTGGGGACGGCAACTTCCTCGCATTAGGTTAGGATCACAGTGGATCAGAGCTCGCCCCACCTCGGGAGAGCGATTCCACCCTGATCCACCTGGAACGCTTGGATCACGCTGAGGAACGGAATAAAAAAATACCGATGTTCATCGCGATCCACCGCGATCCGCATAAAAAAAAAGCCCTTTAGAGTGAGGAGATCCAGGATATTTCATTGTTAAATATGGATATTTCAGAATATTTGTAATTGTTGGTCACAGTCATTCATTTGCAATTATACTATTTTAAAATAAATGAAATGGACCAATTTTATAATCAGATCTTGGACAATTTGCAAAAAGAGAAACACCTAAAACTTAAGCTGTCAATGGAAGGTAGTGTCTGTGCTTACTCTCTCAATGATTTAGTTTCTGTCAGACTTGGGCTCCATGCATTCATGCTCTTATGGTAAATCTTTTTTTTTAGATCTCAATGAGTCAGCTGAAGATGCTATCCAGTGCAGCGGCTGTAATCTGGAGACTGATCAATGTCAGTGTAAAAATATCATCCAAATTTTCCATGAAACTAATAGGTATGTTTACCCTTCACATTCTTTAGAATCATTTGCATCATGCAGTTTATAAAATATACTCTGAATTTATTCAATAAAGCAAGGAAATAATTTGATAACAGTATCATGTAACTCTTTTGAGGACCTTAAAATGTGTCTGAAGGGAGATTAGACAAAGGGGCATAACGTAAAGAAGAGGAATATTTTTAAGTAGTATCTTAAAAACGGTCAGCAATAGATAAACTAAAGACTTCAAATGTTCATTTGATAAGGTTAATGAAACCAAGTCATCAACCCAGTACTTTCACTAACTAAATAAACAGTAAACTTGGAACCAAGTTAAATCAGTGATGGTATGTAAGCGCTAATCATTCTGATTATTTTGTTTTTCTTCCTATTGGGAATAGATAATGCAAAGGTGGAAAAATATGTTTGTTCATTGTTATTCATTTCATCTTTTTTCCTGTTGAAATGAATTTTTATGATTCAGGGAACATTTTTGTCCTACTCAATATAATTTTCATTCTATTTTTTTGTTTTTTTTTTTTTTGTCTGCAGAATGTTAATTGAATTGGGATTGTTAGAAAGGCTGGCTGGAGACGTTTTGACAAGATTAATTCACAAACGAATTGAGAATCATGTTCAAGAAACCTGTAAAGGTAGCTTCGATACGTCTTACACCAACACATTGGAGGAGGTAGTGGATAACAGTTGTTTTTATTTATTAAAGGCAAAAAAGTCTGTCTCAGGATACAGTCTCCACAATCAATCTTTGTAAAATAAAATTATTCGTTACTCAGTCATCATTTGCAATTTTTAAAAATTTCGATGGTCACTAACTAATCAGCTGGCTTTTAAATTATGGAAGATCCATTCTCTGAAGTTATCTTGAAAGTATTCATTCAAGAAGCACTCGGAATTATTTTTCTGAAGCAAAACAAAAACAATAATAAAACGGTAAAAGCTTGTACTTTGATGGCCTGTGAGAAAAATGCTTAATCATGAATCATATCTCGTTGTATCATAGACAAATGACTTTGCTATACAATTGTCGGTTTTCTTAAGAGACTTGATGTATGTTGTAAAAAATAAAACCAACAAGAATTTTATATTTTTTTCTGCGTATTACATCTCATAATTCTATTCATTTCATTCTTCACAATTGTATTTTGTGTTCTAGTGGTTAGAGACTGTTGTTATGGGATGGCTCACTAATATTTATGGTGGTGGTTCGTCCTCAGAGAACAGTGTATCGTTGAATTCTGATGAGACTCAAAATTTCTTGAGAAAGTTCAAGCAGAAATTAGAACATTTGTTGTATGAAACATATACGCGAACCAGGATTGAGCAGCTTTTCAACATTATTATCGGTAATTTCTCTCTAAAGATTATTCTAAAAGTTATTTTCTTTTTGTTTTACTCAGAACAGTTAAAGGTAGCTGTTCAGAAAAAGGTAATATTGACCACCTAGTAATCTTGTGTTCATTACTATTAATAAACCCTCTAAATATTTATTTACAGTTAAAATGATAACCTTGATCTCCAGAAAGAATTTTCAAGCAGTAGTTAAATTTTACAGAATTGTGTGTTGAAAAAAAAGGAATGTATCCAAAATAAAAAAAATATTCCCCTCTCTAGATGTTATCCCATCTTCGGTATGCTCATTCCTTTGTATGGGATACGTCCTCTTAGAATTTCAAGACCTCATTGCCAAATGCCTGTTGATATGGCAGCATTGCCAAGTTTAAAATCCTATAGTGTCATATTTTCTGGACAATAAACTATATCGAGATTTGATTTGTGTCGAAAATAAAGAAAGTCTAGTTTTCAGATACATGAAGAATTTGAGTGTACAATCTATGTGAACTTGCAGTGATACTACACGGAAAAAAAACAATTGCTGATTCAACAATTCAATTGTTAAAAACAGTGAGTGCAATGTTTCAACGCAGATTTTACAACAAAAAAATGCTACTTCAACCACATTGTAAACTAATTTAACCACGGGGGTGGTTAAAGTAGCATTTTTTTGTTGTAAAATCTGCGTTGAAACATTGCACTCACTGTTTTTAGCAATTGAATTGTTGAATCAGCAATTTTTTTTTTCAGTGTATTTTACGTAATTTTTTTATCACCATTTTTTTTTAATTCACTGAAAATTCCAAAGGGCAATATTATGTCCAAAAGTATTTTCATTTTATTTTACTCGTGTTTTTTTGTATCTGTGTATCACTTATCCCAGAGAAACAGATCGTAAGTTCCAAGCCTTTTTTCTAAGCTTTTAACACTGTGAGTTTTTTAAAACACATTTTCTGTCTAGACTGTCTACTTTATCTGTCTCTTTTATCTTGTTAACAACTTATTTTTTTTATCACCATTTTTTTTTAATTCACTGAAAATTCCAAAGGGCAATATTATGTCCAAAAGTATTTTCATTTTATTTTACTCGTGTTTTTTTGTATCTGTGTATCACTTATCCCAGAGAAACAGATCGTAAGTTCTAAGCCTTTTTTCTAAGCTTTTAACACTGTGAGTTTTTTAAAACACATTTTCTGTCTAGACTGTCTACTTTATCTGTCTCTTTTATCTTGTTAACAACTTATGGTATCAAATATTTGTGCTCCAGAATGAAGAGGTGAGGCAAATGAAATTAACTTGCAGGGCTCAGGTACCTAACTAGTAACTGCACCACCCCTTATTGCAAGTTCTATACACACCAAATATTGTTGCTGTTGTCTTTTGACATGGAGCATTACTTATTTTCAGAACTTGGAGTTACGCCCTCTCAGGAGTGGAGCAACAACATTGCCAGGAATTAGAAAAGTGTACATTGGAATTCCCCTTCATTCATTTACTTCACTAACATTGTTTGTGTCATTTCTCTAGAATACCCAGACTCAGAGCCAGCTGTTGAAGACCTGAGGCTTTGTCTTGAAAAAACAGACCTACGTGGTCATCTGATGGGGAAGTTGCAGCGTGCCTTGGAAACAAGGCTTCTACATCCAGGTGTGAATACACCTGATATCCTAACTGCATACATCGCTGCCATTCGTGCTCTGCGCCAGTTGGATCCATCGGGTGTTCTCCTGGATACAGTAACTCATCCAATCAGGTTAATAATTATTTAGTGGCTTCTGTAATAAATGGGAAATGATTATTACAACTAAGATTGTGACAAGTATTCACAATTATGCCGTCAAAAAAAAATGTCAAAATTCGTTCAGTACAAATTTTGGTTCCCCTGTTTTTTTTTTTAATTTTATTGTAAACAAGATGACAGTCTTCAAACACTATCTTCAGTTTATAATATCAATCTTGTACATTTTTCCTTTTCAGCACAATTAAAGTGTCTCTTACTTCACTAACTTTACGAAGGGTGTCAAAATAAAATCATGATTCAAAACAATCTCCAATTTTTATCTTTTGGTATTACGCAACCCTTGAGCAAATTAAACAATGGATGTATCACTCTTTCTTTCTTTATTTGATTATAAATATCTAGCAACACCACCAAAAACAGTATCAAAACTTCAAGTAGACAAAAGAGCATTTTCACCATTTTCAATTGACCTCGTCATGCACAGTAAGATGTCTCTATCTTTCTTGGTTTGGTTTTCAGACAATATTTGCGCTGCCGGGAAGACACAGTCCGTTGTGTGGTGACTAGTCTCCGGGATGAGGGGCCAAACGACCTGGCAGAGGAATTGCAACGCGGCCAAGACTCACCTGCTGAAGATGGAACGACCAATTGGGAAAAATGGATGCCAGATCCTGTCGATGCAGATCCTTGTGAGTAGGCTTCAAGAAAGTTAAAACCTTAAAAATTCATACCTAGAGCAAATAGCTCATCTTTAAAATTTCAGTGGCTAGTCATAGGAAGTAAGTCATGCAGCCATGAGTAATACTTGAATGGTCAAAACGTATCTATCGTATCAGTAGCTCAGAGCAAAAGAGTTAAAATGAAAATTTTTGGGACTGACAAGTTTCTCATCCTATCACTTTATGTAAGATGGGCTTTAAATGTGTGAAAAATAGGTAGTGATATTTAAAGCAGACTCAATTTGCAAAATTTCAAAACTTGCGAACAGTATTGAATTAGTAGGGCTTGCCGAGCAATTTCCTTCCCTTGAAACGGAAAAAATGTTGTTTCAACCAGTCTGCTTTCAGCTGTTGATATATTCAATAATTTTTAGTAGAGAAAGGGTGGAGGGCTGATTCATATAATCTTAAATGCACTTGGTAACAATTTTGTATCATTTTATTTCAGTATTTGATCATTTCTAACTCATTTTATGAAAGTAAATGAAATTCTACCTCTGAAAAAACACTTCCAGGCATTACTTGGTACAAATTGAAACACTTTGGTCAATGCTCTCTCCTCAAAATTTAATGAAGAAAATGATTCACTCAACAAGAAATTCAGAAATCAAATCCCGTGGAAGATATGAGTGCATATAAGTAATCAATATTACTTAAATGGTATCATTTGTGTGGTTTTTTCTGTCGGTACACATGCTAATATCTTGCTCAGAAGTTGACTTCTACAACTCCTATTTTATAATTCGCCTACTGCGCAAAATTTTGAAGAGGAAGCATACAGCATAATATTCTAATTCATAGCTTGTCTTGTGGCCTGTTATGCAGTATTTACATCTATTATGTCTGGTAGGCCCTTCCTCTAAAAAAATTGGGGTAAAATTTTTGTCACTTCCACTATTTTCCAAAATCACCTGTTCTCACATTTTTCCTGTTTTTTCTTGTCTTTAGCTAAATTATCAAAAGCACGACGTACCTCGGATGTTATATCAATGCTTGTTAGTGTGTATGGTAGTAAGGACTTGTTTGTAAATGAGTACAGGACATTGTTAGCTGATCGTCTTTTGGCACAATTCACATTCAACACAGATAAAGAAATTAGATATCTAGAATTATTGAAATTGAGGTAAGTCTCCGATTTGACATTTTTTCTCGATATCCTTTTCCTTTTTCTTTTTTTGTCTGGTATTTTTCGGGCTTGACTGCAAAATCAAACAATGCAGAAAAAAATTGGATATATTTTTCCAATCTTTGAATTACGAGGGGCATTCGTAAAGTAAGTATATATCTTTATTTTCTCCAAAACTAATAAAGATAAATTAAATCGGTAAAAATTGTTTTTACCAACATACTCTCAGCTTTTCAAAAAGCCTTCTTTTCAAATTTGGTTTACCGGTTTGCAAGTGGCGTCATTTTTCTCGCGCCCATCCCTTGTCACCGCGTGTCCAAAATATTCGAGCGCGGCAGAGCTCCTCAGACGAGTACATGTTTTGGCTACGGTGTTTTGGGACGCTCAAGGAATATTGCTGATCGATTTCTTGAAAAGAGGAAAAACGATTGATGCCGCAAGATATTGTGAAGTTTTGAAAAAACTTAAGTCAGCGATCAAGCAAAAACGGCCCGGTCTTTTGTCTCGTCAAGTTTTGTTCCTTCAAGACAATGTAGGCCTCATAAGGCTCATGTGACTCAAGACTTGTTCGCCTCATTCAAATGGGACCTTCTTCCTCATCCACCGTAGTCACAGGACCTTGCTCCAAGCGATTTTCATATTTTTCCTGCGTTAAAGCAGAGCTTGGTTGGCCAAAAGTTCTCCACCGACGCAGAGTTGCAAGAACCTGTTAAAAAATGGTTCCAACTACAGGATGCGCAATTTTTTTGAAGATTGAATCCACAAACTGCTAACATGGTATCAGAAATGTGTTCAACTGGGTGGAGATTAAGTCGAAAAGTAAGGTAAGACAACTCAGAGCCTGAAATTTTCACATATTTAACCAATTAACTTACAAGTTTCTTTATGGTAAGAGTATGTACTCGTCTTAGGAGCTTCGCCGCGCTCGAATATTTTGGACTCGCAGTGACGAGAGATGGGGGTGGGAAAAATGACGTCACTCGCAAACTGGTAAACCAAATTTAAAAAACGAAGGCTCTTTGAAAAGCTGAGAGTATGATGGTAAAAACAAATTTTACCGTTTTAATTTATCTTTATTAGTTTCGGAGAAAATAAAGACATATACTTACTTTACGAATGCCCCTTGTATTTCAAGAGAAATCATTTTTGAAAATTGCTATCTTTCCTTTTTAGACCTCAAAAATTATATATATTTTTTGTTGGAGCGGATCTACTTTTAATAGAAATAGAAAACTTTCAAACTTTGTTCTGGTTTTAGAAGGAATGGAGCATGTTTTATCTGCTCATTGCAGGAATCAATTGTAGGAAGATTGATGGGCTTCTTGCCTAACTTCTCTGCAGATTTCAAGAAAGAGACAAAAGATTCTCCATCTTGATTCTTGCTCTCAATTTCAATGCTAGAATTAAAGTAGCAAATCTTTTGTTACACTTTCAAAGTTGGTGAAGGATTTTGGCAAGACGTTTGGTTTACTAGAAAAAAAAAGATAAGGAAAAGAACTCCTGGTGTTGGCTCAGTTGAATATTCTTTATGTATATTCACTCAAATTAGAGTTTTCTAACAGTTAAGTCTTGTATCCCAAAGAAAACAAAAGACATAATTTAAATCTACAAGAAGGTTTGTGAAAGATTTGAAGACTGTTAATTCAGGTTAATAATTACGGCGTTAAGATTGACAATACCATTGTCAATTTGGGTCATCCCAATGCCATTTCGTGTAAAATTTTCATTTTTCAAGATTTCAGGTTTATGGCTGATGTTGAAAATATTAACTAGTCATTTTTTCTTCTTTTTAACTCATTATCCTAGATTCGGGGACTCACAGCTGCATTATTGTGAAGTCATGCTGAAAGACATCCATGACTCAAAACGAATGAATGCACACTTGCACTCGGATCCTGCTTTTGAGCTCTCTAACAAACAGTTCGTGGCAACAGCAATCATTTTATCTGCTCAGTTCTGGCCTGTCTTTAAGGATGAAACATTGGAACTACCAGAAATTGTCAAAGAGCACCTCAATGTTTACACTAAGGCCTTCGAAACACTTAAAGTGAGTAGCCCTTGCCGACTATTTAAAAGATGCCAACCATTTACCTTTGTTTTCAGTTTCCTTTCATCTTACTGGGTCGCACCATACTTTGCTTGTGTAAGGTTTATCAAAAAAAATCAAACAATGCTTGCTGGGTGCATTACTTTTTTCTTCTGAAATTAGAACTCCAGAGAAAAATTAAATGGCTCTCTCTCGCTAAAATAAGAACAAAGACAAAATGCCCTCCTCCCTCTCCACCAAATGTTTTTTCCTGAACTTTCTCTCTTGGGTTTTATTTCAGATGTTGTGTGATTCAGTGTGTCTGCTTAGTGCATGGTATTGACTAGTGTTTGAGTAAAACTTACGAATCAGTCTGTTATCCGGTCAAAACTCAAACTGACCAGTGACAACTTTTTTATCACTCTACTAGGGGGTCCGCCCCCTGGCCGCTACACGGCCCAGCCCTTGGGGCATATTTTGTGTATATATCTCAATTTAAAATGTCATAATTCTTAGTTTCAGCTCAAGATTGTGGCAAGGAGATTGCATGTTTCTGGTTTTTTCAATTTTTCTTGTATGTTTCCAGGGGAATCGAACATTGAGTTGGAAACCTCACTTAGGTGCCGTAAATTTGGACATTACAATAAAAGACAGAACAGTGAATCTAACGGTGACTCCAATACATGCCACTATTATTTGTCACTTTGAAACAAAACCAGAATGGACTATTGATGAACTCAGCCAAGTCATGCATGTTCCTCCAACTGTTCTAAGACGTCGCATAGCATTTTGGCAATCGCAGGTGAGATTCTTGAGAAGTTTCTGTAAAAATTGTATTCTCATCTCTCTCTATCTAATAGATTTTGGGGAATGTACTTTCCTCAAAGGTGAATAAATCTAATGTTCGTGGAAGAATATAATTAATAAAAAATAATCTACATTTCCCAATTAAATTAATTTTAGCATGGGCCGTACTTATATTTCAAAAGACCCCTGAGGTACATGACATCTGACTCCAAAATTCGATTAAGATTAAAATAAAATATGTTAATAAACTTTCAGTTTTATCTATTTGTATTTTTTAATGAAATGACCCCCCCCCCCCTTGTCTTGAAAATGTAGAGTAATGTGATAAATTAAGATTTTTTGTTTTTTGTACCATTGATTCAAATCATTCCTACTCTGTTATGATCAGTCTTGTAAATTCTCTTTGCATGCAATTGTTGATCCTATCTTAAACACTGAATGAACATCCTGTAGAAATTTTCACCGCCACACACATTTTTGCTCGGATTTCAACAGTTCTTTCAATGTACAAGTTTATGTGCCCTTTCAAGTATTTATCTCTTTATAAATTAATTTCCAGGGATTAATATGGGAAGCCTCAACGGACAAGTTTATCCTTGTTGAAGACTCAGTTTCTGGGAAGTGGAAAAGTGATGTCAGGAGTGAAATGGTGTGCGAAGAAGAAGAAACGGAAAGTGCTATGGCTTCTGCTCATGATCAGCGAGAAGAAGAACTTCAGGTATGTTTGTCTTTGAATCTCCTTAATGAAAAATTATATGAAACAGCAAAAGTTCCCAAAGCAGGAGTTTTGCAAAACCTGCATTGAGTATTTCTTGTAAGGTTTTAGTCAAACAGTATCCAAAAACAACTCTGAAGATCTGAGTTTTCTTCTCTTAGGCATAAAATTAAAATTACCTGTTGAGATTGCCCCAAAAATTACAGCTCCCTTCCACCTTTGTTTGGTTGAAACTTACATTGGACAGAACCAAAGTTTGCTCGCGTACGGAGCATTCAACTTCCTGCATTCTAATTTTGAAAGTTTGTCTTTGTTAATGGAGCAAGACAACACTAGGCTGATGTACAGGGGTTTCATTGGTGCTTAGCCCCTGATACTTTATCAAGTTTTGCAAGAGGCGCCCATGGCTTGTTCTTTATCTAGTTTTATCATGCTGAATTATCTACACTGAATATCGCATATAACAACCTTGCAGGGACCGGGCTCATTTGATCGTTATAACGGATAGTCGCAATAACCGATAGTTGAATTTTTATGCTCTCACCTCTGAGAGCGCACGAATGAGAATGCACTGTTGCTGGAAGTTGATGAGTTGCAGATGGGCCATTGAAATAAGGCTCTTAATATTTGCACTTCAGTAACTTTTTTTCTCTATTTTGTGTTTTCTTTTAAATTTTTAATATAAAATAATTATGGAAATTTCACCTTTATTTTGCAAGAGAAAAACTTCGTAAAAATTAAGAGTTCGTAGTCACACCAAAGTTTAATTAATTTATTTACTTACTTATTCATTTATGTAAACACCACTTTCATATCAATTTTGTTAAAAATGTTATATATTTAATAAAAAAACTTTACACACTTTAAACTTAAATTCGTCGTTAAATTGGCTGTCTGAAGGTACCAGAAAATACCAAAATGAAGGCGCTGTGCAGCTCTCTTGTTGCTGTAACTGGTAACGGAACCCAAAATTCCGCAGAAACTCTATTGCTACGACCGATGTGGTGCTATAAGCGTCATCATTATATCCGATACCTTAATACATTGATCTAATGGAGTTTCGAGCAGGACCAAAGAGATTGTGTCGCTTTGACCGATATGCCGTTATAACCGATGTCGCCATAACCGATGTCATTATACGCGATATCCACTGTAATTCCAAAGATGAAATGAAATTTTTTATGATGTTTATTAATTTTAAGTAGCTCCTGTATTTTTACAGTTTTTATATTATATTTTTCTCAAGTTTTTTTGTTTTATATACTTAGCTGAATCTTTTTACATTCACCTCTATTTTCATAGGTGTTTTGGTCGTATATTGTTGGAATGTTAACAAATCTGGACTCAATGCCTTTGGAAAGAATTCATCAAATGTTGAAAATGTTTGCATCCCAAGGACCCTCTACAGTTGAGTGCAGTCTACAAGAATTGCGGCACTTTTTAGAGAGGAAAGTTAAGGAACAAAAACTAATATTCAGTGGTGGACTTTATCGGTTACCAAAACCTTAATCGTTGGTATGTTTGTTTCAACTTATGGATCTCTAATTATACTCTCTGAGAAACCTGTCTATGTACCTGATCCTCCTTATGTCTACTTACCATTTGCAACTTAAGGAAGACTCGTTCAGCCAATAGTGCAATTCATGGTAAGTTAATGGAATATTTACTATTTTTGCTTTGCAAAGCCAACTCTTTAAAGAATTTTTCAAAAATCACTTTTCATAAAGTTACCTATCGACATCAGGGGTTTTTTGAGGTCAATTGAATCTCTAATTTTAAAGAGTGTTAGCGAAATATTGTGCTAAAAAAAGTATTTTTTTTAAAAAAATCTGAAATCTTTTAATAAAAGTTTTTGAATTTTTTATTATCTTTATATTTATGTCGGTTGTTGACGAAACAGACGCCTTATTGCCATTTAAAATTGTATAGTCATTTATTTCCAAACTATGAGTAAGAAATAAATTGTGATTAAACATTTTTATGAACTTATGAACAAATTCTGATGTATGTGTAAAATTATTAACTACACAATCTCCCATACTTCATTTAAAATCATAGATACTTCTGATTTGCTCTTTATTCATTTTTAAATTGTTCTCATGATGGTTACTGCTGTTTTACAACGTTTTTAAAATAGCTTCCATATTTAGTTTTATCAGATTGGACCTATACAAGGTCTGAACAAGGAATGAACGAAACAGGTTTTCTCTTCAAATCTTATGAAGAAAACGATTCTTACTAAGAGAAGTTCGGAAATGAACTCCTGAACTAGTAACAAGTATTTTCAACTTAGACCAAATGGAGGTTAAATTATACAAATGATGCCATTTGTACTTTTCCCATTCAACCGATGTTAACTGTATAAACACATATCTTGTTAAGGAATTGATTTCTGGACATCTCAAAGTGCGATTCTTTACTCTCATAAAATTTTGAGGAGAAAATATGTTGCACAGTGCTTTAATTCATACCTTATCTAGAGGCCCATCGCTGATTAAGAAAAGAATGTCAAACTGAATATTGAAAGTTACAATAAGTGTAATTCAAACAATGCAGATATTTCTAAGTATTGTGGTGGTTTCCAGGATCTTTCAGCGAAAGATTCTGGAAACCCCATCAAACACCCTCCAACCAACCTCGGTGGGAAGCTCCGCTGCGTCATGGGTGGTATGCTCGGGCGACGAACGGCAAGCCAGAGGCAGGCTGAAAGTGGGTCACGCGGGCATTACACCTGTACAAATGCTGAGGATTGCATGATGTGACTTGTCCTTACATCGAATTCAGCGGAAAGAATGCCCGTTCGAGGTCGTCTTCAGTCCGAAAAAGTGACGATTGTTCGGCCAAAATTGCTGACCGATCAATCGTCGAGTTTTCCGGCTTAGAGTGCGGCCACGACCCCGGGGAAGCTTTCTGAGGTAGTTGCGTTTTGGATCTGGGTGGAGCGAGGTTCCTGGTCTAGCTGAAGTCTTGTGTTTGGCTCGTTCTCCCCCCCGCAACCCCTACAGTATTTTTAGTCTTTTAACCCTTTTAAGTCCTACGTCTGTGTTATAAAGTAACCGAGAATTATTTCTGGACAGTCTTTAGCTTTGTACCCTTCAAAATTGTATGCAATTTTTGGGATTTTGAGCACCATAATCAATAGGATTATTTAAAACTGTCCACAAAATAATGAATTCAACTCCAAGAAGGAAGCTTTTTTCATACGTCATTTTTCTTCATTCAACAGAGTTAGGTTTATAATTAAAGGAGAGACACCGTTTTAAAAAAGTTCAAACATAATTTTATTATACATTTCAACTTAGAATCTATGAGAGTCTTATATGTACAACGGTAAAACATAATTAAATTACACCTTTACAAAAAAGAGCTACGCTCTATGGCAGCTTTGTACAGTTGTTTACATGATGAAAACGTTATATGACCGTAAATTTTCTCCTTTCCTTTTTTTCTTCTTGTGAAACTTGATTATACTTGAAATTTTTCTCAGTCTTTAGAGCACTGATTGAATGAGAGGCAATATCAGAAAAAAAGGAAGAGCAAAGGAAGAGGGTAACCTAAGTTTTATACCGTTCCGCTTATTTTTACTAAAATCCTTATAGGATTTAAAAGGCTCATGGTAGATGTTTCTAAGGCCTAAATTTTAAGGGCGCTCTGAAACTCTTTGACTTGACTTTCCTGAAACTTGCTGTATGTATGAGAATTTCAATGCTACAGAAGAACTCTCACAAAGGTTTTAAAGCAAGATAGCCTGAGGATTTGTCTTAAAATTCAGGCCTAATTGCTCTTTATTTGGCTTTTTTTCTTTCTATATGAAAATACACTTACCGCAAACTAAACCTACAGAACTGGAAGTCATTTGTCATTCAGATGCAAGTTCAAGAAATTTACTGACCAGACTTTTCTAAAGATGTTTTCATCCTACAAAATCACACTCAAAATCGATTTTTTCATCAGTTAAACCTCCTACATCTCCCTTTTAACTCTTCTCTTAGATTCAACCTTCTCTTTTGCAAGTGAAATGTTTAAAAATAAATTTTGAAGGACCATATAATCAAAATAATACATGTTTGTTGTTTTCAAAAATATTTTAAAACAAATGAAAATTGCTGAAACTCTATTTAAATGGAAAGTATGAATGGCACTCCCATTCTAGAAAAAAGGCAGCTGGAATATTGCGGGTTTTGATGCTAGACAATATTATGGGGTTCTTATCAACAATATTAAGATAACACCGCTTGATTTTGTTTATGAACAATTTTGCATTCGTATTTGTTGTATTGTATATTATTGCACTCCCTTCAAAGAATATAGTGTTCGGGACGAATTTTTAGGAATATTGTTGGTAAGAAATGCATAAAAAACAAATAAGTAAAAATAGAAAAAAGTGGCGACTCGAAGAAAAATCAGGGAAAAATCACCCGATAAAAAAGAATAAAACCCCAAAAAAGACAAATTAGAAAAGTCACAACACTTTGTCTGCTCTGAAGAATATTTTTTTGAAACTGTCACATTGCTAAGAAATCAAATTTGCAATAAATGTTTTCAGTGAGCATCGTGAAAACATTCCCAAAAATTATCTTTGGAGACGTTGTTGCAATGCTGCTACATAATTTTGTTTAAATAAATGAAAAAAAAAAAATATTGGTTATTCAATGAAAATAACTCTTTCACTCAAAATGCTATTGACTAGTTGGCCATCCAAAATTTTTTTTAGCATCTCATGGTTGAATAGAAAAAGTAATCAATCCCTACTTTAAATATTGGCAACTGTCGCTAGGCTAGTATTTTGACTACTTTTTTCTCCTGTCTGATTTTTTCCGCACATTGACTAAATAAACAACCTTTTGTGGGTGAGCAATCGTGTAAGGTCTAAGGGGTGGCACAGGTGAACTAAGTTTCAAAGTTGTCGGCAATTTCACAATTGGTGACGGTTGCAATATTGGTCTCGGAGGGACCAACCAAGTTTGCTTTTGTCCAAGACTTGGCGGTTTCATCGTTTTCAGTTTCTCTATGTCTTGCCTACTCATTAGCTTCCGCATATATCGATGCCTTGTTTTAGGCAGAGCAGGAACAGGAATGCGCAAATACGGCCTTTTGTTTATGTAGAGTAATGGTTGGATCGGTTGGTACAACTGGGGAGCAGTGTTGCTTCCTGCAGGAATGTTGTTGAACTGGCCAGTGTTGATGAAGTTGTCTTTGCTTGGATCCTCGTGCACCTAGTTGATAAAGAATAAAAATTTAAGAAGGATTACTGGGAAAAATAGGGAAATAATTTTCCTGACTTATTGTCAAATTCTGCTCTCCTTAATTGTATGCATCATAGGAAAAGAGGAGAAAGGAACTTGATTTCCTCTTGACCTATAGTTTTCTCTGCGAGTCTTAAAAAAAAAATAAAAAAAAAAAATTACAAAAAAATCACTAATATCTAATTAAAATGAATGATCAGGCATTAACATTTTTATCCTCCGATTTCCACGGTATAATTAATTGTTGCCACTGAATTCGCGTGTTGTGTAAGTTGGCTTCTCACTTACTGAAGGGGCTCTTCTTATATTGAAATTATAAAATTGAAATAATTTTCAGTTATTTTTGCATGGCATGTTGCCTATCTTGCTCTCATATTGCAGTGGGGTGGCGTGCTTTGCGATGTATCGATCGATCTGCCGTATAAACCTATGGAAAAGGATCGATAAACAGGGTGTTCGCAACGAACACATTAATAATCGATTCTTTACCATAGCTTCAAATGGGGAAATATCGATAATCGATCATTCACGCCTCGTCACTGCCATATTCTGCCGTGCTATGGAAAAACGCCGTATGAACCTCCAGGCGTTGCCAAGTTTCCTTCGATAAAACACGAATTTCCCGGTAAACTTATGAATATTTTCTCTCCAATTTTTCAGATACTCTTGCTCGCAATATCATCCAAAGTTTATGAAAATTTTGAGGAAAAATATTCATAACTTTCCTTAAAAATGAACATTTTATCGAAGGAAATTTGGCAACTCTCGGATATTCACACGGCGTTCTACCTTAGCACGGCAGTATTGACCTCATTCCGTTCATCGTTTAAAATCGGCATTTACCAGCCAAATCTGCCCTGCTAGCAAGAGAGCAGTAAATGCATTTCTGCATGAGCCATGGTTAGCACATGCTTTTATGAGTCTCGAGATTCACCCCAGCATGCACTCACTGCTCTCTTCACTATCACGGCAGAAATGATGGACAAATTTGCAATTTCACGGTGAAAATTGCATTTTCATAGCATTAAATTGCAAATTTCAATATTTTTGCCGGGATCCTTAGCCAGGGGCGGATCCAGCAATTTGGCAACAATGGATTCCTTCCATTTAAACCCATGTTAAATAATCGATTCTTGTCGGGGTACCTGGCCCCTCCAAGAATCGATACATTTCCATAGGTTTAAGTGGAGAAAAACAGTGTTGCCAATTTGCTGGATCCGCCTGTGTCAGAGGCGTGGCGTGCTTTGCGATGTATCGATCGATCTGCCGTATAAACCTATGGAAAAGGATCGATAAACAGGGTATTCGCAACGAACAGATTAATAATCGATTCTTTACCATAGCTTAAAATGGGGAAATATCGATAATAGATAATTCACGCCTCGCCACTGGCCTGTGTCCTTACCTCGTACTGATGTCGGACGTTCCGGCCGCGATGTCCGAGAACCAGGTGATGATTCTTGTCCTTAGGTATGTCGAAGTCCTCTATGCTGTTGGTCGGATCGAAGATGTGGTGGTAGTGCTGGATGTGGTCCTCGTGGATCTCGTACGCCTCCGGTGGAATCGTGTAGAACTGTCCGTTGTCCTTCCCGCCGCCGTGTCCGCTCTGCCCGTGTCCGTGTCCGTGATCCTGCTCATGTCCGTGGTCGTGTCCGTTCTGGAGGCTCGTGTCCTCGCTACTCGTGGTCCCCGTGTCCTCCTGCGAGGTGGCCGGCGTCGAAGGGTGCGACTCCTCGCTCGAGCCGCCCCCGACGTCGTTATGTTCCTGCGAACGATTTAGTTGAACTTCATTGTGCAAACGGGAAATAAGCAAATTTTTGTTCGTTAACTGTTGACGAAATCCGTGTACAGTTTACAAAATACGACATCAGAACAAATTTTCGTTCTCTAGTCGTGATTAAATGGGCGTAGTCTAGCCTTTCCCGCCAATTCGCCCGTAGTTAGGTGTAATTTAATTTTCGTCAACGGTTTACGGTTTCGTAAACGTGCTCCGGACCATGTTAACGAACCTGTTAACGATTCTGAACCCCACGAATAGTCCCGTAAACAGTCCACCAAGCTCTGATTGGTTGATGAAAATACCAACTCCACTATGTAACGCGCAGGACAACTGTTTACGGATTTTGTCAACAGTTGGCGAAGGAAAATTTGCTTAGTGTTTACGGCTCATTTTAGACGACTTTGTCATGATTTGCAATAATTAAATTGCAAATACACGAGTCTCGTTTGCGTTGTATCAAAATTTCTGCTCCCATCCCGTCAGGGCCGGATTAAGGGGATGGCCACATGGACCGCGGCCCATGGCGGCAAATTTTGCATTTTTTTTTAAATGCATGTATAAAAAAAATCGGATCCAGAAAAAAAAATTATCAATGAGGAAAGGGACAAAATCTCTCTTTCCTGAGAGAATAGTAATTTCTACTTTTGTCGTTTTTCGGTGATACAAGAGACAGCATCTTTAATAATTAGTCGAGTTAAGGGGAACTAAACACGCAATTTGGCCTGGAGTTCAGCGCAGAGAGGAATGATGACGAGGACTTGAAATGAAAAGGACAAGCCCTCGGCGCGGCGAGGCGGTCGGCATGTAAGACATATTAGCGCCTACAAGACTGCATGAATACTTCACGCATTACGTCAAAGACAGTGCGGTCAGGAGCGGTTGGCATGAAACGCATAGCGCCTATAAGACTGCAGGAATACTTCACGCATTACGCCAAACACAGTGCGATCAGCGGGTCGCAGCGGTGGAAGTTAAAATTATTCAACCACATTCATGTTTGTTCTTTCATAATATTTTGGTTCATTTCTTATGAATGGAGGACCTTGTCCACACAAAAATAAGTTTACGGAACTTAACTTTCGCGCAAAGTTCCGTGAAATTTTGCTAGTAGTGTTGGCAGGGCTTTCGCAAAAAATGTATCCTACACGAGTATAGGTAAACGCGTCTTATGCACCCTTCCCCTCCCCCTCCGGCACGTTCACTTGATGGTTTTTATTGATGTTTCAAAACGAATGAGAAGGGGACGGCAAAATACAGGCAGCTCATGGGTGGCAAGTGGGTAAATCCGGCCCTGCATCCCATGTAGCATTTAATTTTGAAATTAAGTCGCGATTTTTTTACGATTTTTGGGCGATAAAATAGTAGGATCGCCAAGATCTAAGCAGTTATCCTCGATCTTGTCGCAATTTTATCTCTATGAAATCGCGGTGGTTAAAATCGAAATTTTATCTCAATTTATCACAATTTTTTATTCAATAATATTGCGATCAATTGCTGTCGACATAACCGTGATTTGATCGCAATTTCATGCGATAAAATCGCGATTTATCGCAATTTTTTATCCGATAAAATTGCGATGCATTCTCCGATCAAATCGCAACTTATTGCAGTCACTGCCACTTAGGATTTTGCCTTGTCAAAGGACAATGAACTAGCATTATTTTCCCCGAAACTTTCACAATATAATTTTCCTACTGCGTAGGAAATTTCAAAAAATGATGATTTTGCTCAAAGAATAAGTTACGGCAGAAATTCAGAATTTTGTCGCCAAAATTACTATAGCATACCGAATATCATCGAATCTTTCTGAATGAAATTTTCAGAACTTATTTTCTACAGGAGAAACTAAAATCTTGAGAAGTTTTGGGTTATAACGATGATCACCCTTACGTTAAAAAAAGAGTGTGGCGGGGTACCAACATGGGCGCAAAAATATATATCGACGGTGTAAGTCGGCAAGCACATATAACTCGTTTGCGGTGTCTGAAAATCTCCGCCTCAATGTTATTTTTTTAAAGGAGAACAAAGTGACATCATTCCTTGAAGTTTTTGCAGAATTTTCTTCACACAGAGAAGAAAAATCACGGCAGTTTTAAAGAATTGCAGTTGAGTATAGTTTTCCGTTTAAAAAATAAAGTATAACAGGAAGTCTGCGACGTCGCAAACCGAGTTTTGTGATTGCCAACCTACACCGTCGATATACTTGTATTTATAATTGCTAATAAATATTATGATTTATAAGAATGTATGAAATAATTTTTGTTAAGAAGAATAGAAAAGCGGTCGGCGTGATGACTGATGAGTTACCTGCGGCTCCTCGTGAACCTGGTAGGAGACGGGGTGCATGATGGGAACGTAGATGTGCGGGATGAGGTGGAGATGGATTAGGTGGTTGTGGTTCTTGGCGGAGGGGTCGCGGTTGTAAGGGGGGTGACCGCGGGTATCGCCCACGTCAAATCCGTGCGCCTTCAGCTTATCCACGATGTCGTGTCCGTGACCATGTCCGTGTCCGTGTCCGTGTCCGTGTCCGTGTCCGTGGTACAAGTGATGGTCCGAGAATACGGGATGCTTCAATATCGGCCGCCATGCCCCTGCAGACACGAGACAGCGAATTAGGTAAATGGTTAAACAATCGTCTGATATACTCTAGGGGCGGATTAAGGGGGTGGCCACATGGGCCGCGGCCCATGGCAAATCTAAGGGGCGACGAAAATTTGCAATTTTTGCAAAAGTGTAGGTATAAAAAAAATCGAATTCATAAAAACAAAATTACAAAAGAGGAAAGGCGACAAAATCTCTCATTTCCTGAGAGTATATTAATTTCTAATTTTGTCGTCTCTTAGTGATACAAGAGACAGCACCTTTAATAAGTAGAGTTAAGAGAGAGACCAAACACGCAATTTGGCCTGGAACGGCGCGACTTAGAGAGAAATGATAACGAGGACCTGAGATGAAAAGGAGAAGCCCTCGGCGCGGCGATCGGCATTTAACACATATTAGCGCTTACAAGACTGCACGAATACTTCACGCATTGCATCAACCACAGTGCGGTCATTGCGGTCAGCTTGAAACGGATAGCGCCTACAAGACTACGTGAATACTTCACGCGTCGCGTCCACCACAGAGCGTTCAGCAGCGGTCGGCGTGAAACGCATAGCGCCTACAAGACTGTCGGAATACTTCACGCATTGCGCCAAACACGGTGCGGTCTGCGCTGTCTGCGCGGCGTGGCGCTGGAAGTTAAAATCATTGATCCACATTTATGTTTGTTCTTTCATAATTTTTTTGTTCATTTCTTATGAATGGAAGGCCTTGTCCACACAGAGATAGGTTTACGATACTTAACTTTCGCGCAAAGTTCCGTGAGCTTTTGCTAGTAGTGTTGACAGGGCTTTCCCAAAAAATGTGTTCAACACGAGTGAATGCGTCTTATGCACCCCTCCCCCGCTGACACGTTCATTTGATGGTTTTTATCGAGTTTCAAAACGAATGAGAAGGGGACGGCAAAATACAGGCGGCCTATGGGCGGTAAGTAGGTGAATCCGGCCATGATAGACTCAGATCGTATGGCATGCATCGGATGAGGACGATTAGAGAGGCGGAAGAAGGAAAAGAAAACGGAGAAGGTGAAAACTCAAGTAGCATTTCTCAACGGAATTATCGCGATGGTTTGAAATTAGGTTGCGATTTTTTTACGATTTTTTTACGATTTTATCGCCAGGATCATGGGTGGCGGCAGCCATCTCCGGACAAAGTTTAAACTCGACAACAATGGAAGCGGTCTGAAGAAGAGAGGTGGCAGCCGACCACATCATCGACACCTGAGCGATTATTCTCAACCTTCTTGCAATTTTATCTCTAAAATCGCGTTCGATAAAATCGAATTTTACCTCAATTTATCACTATTTGTTGCTCGATGAAATGGCGATTAGGTATTCGCCGTCGATGAAATAGCGATCTCATTGCAATTTTGTCGCCCAATTTCGAATTCATCCCCAAACCTGAAAATAATATGTTATGAGTTCTAACGTATACTATCGTGCTAAGGGAGAACACCGTGCGCTTACTCAAATTATGCTAAAAAAGTAAGCAAAGTACAAAAACGTAGTCACTTTTGGTAAAATTAAATGTTTTTCCTCGAAATTTCCAGCTACTTTGGATTGAATCGTAAATAAAATACATCGAAAAATTGAAAGACAAACAAATTGACATTTTTAAAATAAGTTTCCATTTTATGAGGGGAAATTTTGCAACGTTCGGAGGCTCTTACGGCATTTCCTCTCAGAACGGAAGTATTGCACTTATGTGTTTCTTCAAACCTCCTTATGCAGGTATGAGCCAGTGAGCCTATGACTTGATTTCATGCAATTATATCTGAGCTCGAGGCGGTCAGAGGCTGGAGGTGGGATAGCACGGAGAGAGTAGTGAAAGTTGCGTCGCGGTGTTTTGAAGGCACTCTGACAAAGCGCACTCTCGGATTGAATGAAGAACTGGAACAGAATGTCGGTTGTTGTGAACAACGAGATCGAGATCGCAACCATAAATCGAATAGAGAGAGCATGGAGTGGAGCTGATTGTAATTCATTCCATCAGACAAGAAAGAATCGTGTGTATCAAAATTGATTTGATCAACGAAATTAAAAACAAAATTAGCATATTTTTTCCACGATCCCCGGTTTTGTTTTGACGAAGCATCCGGTGATTTTAGCCGAACGAGTCGCATCAAACTTTCCATTCCATGTTTCTCACACTTGGTGCTGTCGATCGGGCTAAATGCATTGACACCAATTTTTTGACCAAATTTTCCCCTCTTTTTTCTTATCTTTATCACACGATCTTATGTGATATCACGAACAACACTGTGAGAAAAGTTTCACGGGAAGGAGTACCGGATGAAGTGAGCAAATCAAGTCTTAACTTCAACGGTAGCACGTACCTTAGTCTGCAATGTTGTAGTTTTTCTTTTAAAATATTGATTTTTCCGGATAAAGGACAAAGCGACATTTTAAAGTCATTGACCCAGTCCAAGGGATTACTTTCCCTTGCGAGCTTTTCAACCTTCTGGTGGACTCAGGGCTCAGATCTTTGAACTCTAGCATAGGTAAGATGAAGACGCATTAGAGATCTGACGAGAGGAGCAGAAGAAGGAGAAGAAGAGGAAAGAAAAGAAGATACGACGAGAAGAGAAACAAGAACACTGAGGAGAAGGAGCAGAGGATGAAGAAGAAGGGTAGAAAAAAGAGGGAAAATAAAAAAGGGAAGCAGATCAAGGGGGAGAAAAAGGAGGAGAAGAGATTTAAGATGAGGAAAAATTAAGAAATACTAATAAGAAGAAGAGGAAATGAGGTAGAAACAAGAAGGAAAGAAGGTGAGGGAGGGACAGGAAAAAGAGATTAATACTTTCTCGTTCTTCGTCTCTCTTTTATTCTTTTTCTCCTTCTGTTCCTTCCTCTTTTCCTTCTTTCAAGTATAATATTAAAGATCGCCGTCAATCGTCGGTACGCACCGATGTCTAAGTTGTTATTCTTCGGTACAGTACGGACGTATCAAATTATGATTATGGCATCATAACCATATAGTAAAACAATGTCAACGTAATCAGTCGGAGGTGAGGATACGCTGTTAAGATCAGACTTACGTGCGCCTGCTTTTTATAGCGAAGTCAGTCCTATCAATCTGACGAACAACTATCTGATTTAAAATTAGTACTTTTTACCAGAGCGAGGCAATCTGACAACGCGGGGTGCGAATTCATTAGCCCTGAATCAGGAATGAGGCGCGATTTATTCTAATCGGGCATCGGGCGATGAGATGAATGCTGAATGAAAGTCTTTCACTCTCATTGAAACGATTTGTCACTGGACTCATCAGGAGCAGGACCGGCTCCACCGATGCCCGCTCGCAGAATCCCTCACGCCGGACACTCGAAAAGCGAGCGGGATTTTCCGCGACTTGGCAACCGTGGACGCGGTCGCAGCGCGGCTCAATGCACTCGTGAACCACGCGCACGCGCGCCCTTTCAATTTTTCACTTTGCCCCTGATAAAATTCTCCTGGACCGGAACCGAGAGCAGCTTTTATTCGAGTCGCTGAAGCTGGGAGGAGGAGTACTAGCGAAGAAAATCGAGAGGAGACCTTGTGCCTTGGATCTGCGCGGTAAGTGTTCGAAAATGTGGGTTAATCCTAAAGCGTATTTTCGCGTCAGATCGGGCAGAGCGTCTGAATCTGATTCAGTGAATCCGTATTTTCTTGTGAACCCGATCCTCGTTTTCGGGGCTCACCAAACGGATGGATGGTGCTCATCGGGATCCGTCCGTGAAACACATCCTCTGTGATTGGTCAATTTAGGAGGCGGCAAATTTTGCAATTTTTTTGAAATACATGTATAAAAAAATCTGATTTAGAAAACGAGAAAAAGGGATAAAATCTCTCATCACTCGGCGAGAGTAAAGTAATTTCTAATTTCGTCGTCTTTCGGTGATAGAAGAGACAGAACCTTTAATTAGTCGAGTTGAGAGAGAAACCAATTACGGAATTAGGCGTGGAGCGGCGCAGCGCACAGAGCAATGATGACGAGGACTTAAGATGAAAAGGAGAAGCCCTCGCTTATGTATTAGCGCCTACACGACTGCATGAATACTTCACGCATTGCGTCAAACACAGTGTGGTCCGCAGCCGTCGGCGGGAAACGTACAGCGCCTTCAAGACTGCATGAATACTTCAAGCATTGCGTCAAACACAGTGCGGTCAGCAGCCGTCGGCGTGAAACGCATGGCGCCTACAAGAATGCATGAATACTTCACGCACTGCGTCAAACACAGTGCGGTCAGCAGCGGTCGACGTGAGACGCATAGCGCCCACAAGACTGTAGGAATAGTTCACACATTGTGCCAAATACAGTGCGGTTAGCGCGACGCGGCGGCGGAAATTAAGATTATTAAATCACATTTATGCTTGTCCTTTCATAAAACTTTCGTTCATTTCTTATAATTGCGGAAGGCCTTTTTCACATAGAGATAAGTTTACGAAATTTAACTTTCGCGCAAAGTTCCGTGAAATTTTGCTAATGTTGACACGGCTTTCAAAAAAAATGTGCCCAACACGAGTAAACGCGTCTTATGCACCCCCTCCGGCACGTTCACTTGATGGTTTTTATTGATGTTTTGAAACGAATGAGAAGGGGGCGGCAAAATACATGCGGTCCATGGGCGGCAAGTAGGTAAAACCGGCCCTGGGGAGAGCTGGCGGCATGTTCTGGCGTCGACGAGTTTCGAGCCCGGTAAGCGCCGAGCTTCGGTCACTTTTTCGATACATTTTCGATCCGGATTGGCGATGTAGAATACGTAGTAATTCCTATTCTCTTTTTTTACCTGCATAAAAACCCCTCTATGTAACAAAATCAGCACTGCTTTCACTTTTTTTCAGTGGATTAAAGTAAAGGTAATTATTTTTCGACAACCAATAATTTAAAAGGCAGCACAATAGAAAGAGAGTCAAAACGTTGAAAAAAAAATAAATAAATTATTGTTATTTTTGCCCAAAACTAGTATCCAAAAATACCATGTGAAAATTGAGCTCTGGAACTCACTTTTTCTTCTCAATGTATTAATTTTATTGGTGTCATAAGGTGGACGATACCCAGCGCAAAGAGAGGAAGTGTCGAAAACCCTGAGGAAAGGAAAATTTTAGAATAAACGTATGCATGATTTTTGTCAACTTTTACAATTGAAATTTGATGCGAGCAGCACTAGGCCGGTTTCGAGGATTGTTTTCTGAAAAATTCGCAAAGTAACGTCGCAGGTATTTTTCCAAAAAGGGAGAAAAACATCGAACAGAAGACGACTTGTAAATGTAGGTCGAAGGAATAACTCTATAAATCTTGCTCGGACATCTAATTTTTTGCGATTTAGAGGACTGGCGACGCTGTAGTACACTTAAAAAAATCACTACATTTTGAGGAAATTGAACATGTTGCAAATAAAAATCAGTAACAGTTTACTACAGTAGACGGCGCTGAAATTAGATCAAGAAAGAATCAAAACGTCCTCACTTAGTATCGGACGCCACGAATTCTGAACAAATTACACTGTAACGCCTGTATAAAACTATTCGAGCTCCACGGATGACCGTGTTGCATACGCACGTAGATAAAGGCGTTTTGGCTCTCCAAGCACTCATCCCTTCATGCGCGGCGCAGCGCAGCGGTATACTGTATTGCCAGGATTCAAAATGTCAGAGCTCCTTCAATCTTTTCGTTTGCACTACGCAAATATCTTTAAAGCATGAACAGCTGCTCTAAACATCATGCTCAGCTCATCGCCATATCAAAACTGAAGCTCAAAAGAAACACATTCTACGCCTGTATGCTATTATTCGTGCCTGGGAGATACGTTCGTTGTACAAACGAAGAATCGAAAGCGTTTTGCCATTTTGGATCCTCGCAGAAAACCAAACCCAGTTTTTGCAATACTGAGTTTCAAAATTTATATTTTTAAAGAAAATTTTTTCGGTTGAAAAAAACAACGTCAGTTGATCCCTTTTTATTTCCTGCGGCATATAGTATTTCCAAGCTGGAGATATAATGGGTATCGGTATAATCATTCAGCTTTGACGCTTTTTTGAACGTGCATATTTTCGGAGACTTAAACGCAGAGTGAGAAAAGTAGATAAGTACGGAGGAAGAAGTTCCTCCTCCCTTTTCTCGGGCGAACGGGGGAGGAATGTGCGTCCCTTACGGCTTACACCCCCCCCCCCCTTGGATTCGCCTATGCGTATTTATCTACTTTCCTTACTCTGCGTTTAAGTCTCCGAAAATACGCACGGTCGAAAAAGCGTTAGGGCTGAATGGTTATACCGATACCTGTTTACCCATGAGAATTTACGTTCCGCATAGTTGGGATACGGGTTTGGATACCCTTAATGGCTGCCTAGCCGCAAATAATGTATCGAGATAGTAGTGGACTTTCACACATTTTTGACCGAATATGAGTTTTGAACACTGTTATCGAATGAGTTTGATCGATAATTCCATATCTTCACAATGCTATATATCGATCAATGTCATCCGATAACCAGTGGCGTGGCGTGCTTTGCGATTTATCGATTAATTTGTCATTTAATTCTATGGGAAAGGATCGATTATCAGGGCGTTCGCAGCGAACACCTTAGTAATCGATTCTTTACTATAACTTCAAAGGGCGATATATCGATAATCGATCCTTCACGCCACGCCACTGACGATAACGATTCAACAATCGTTTGACCGATAACTCCCTATCTTTACAATGCTATATCGGTATCGATCAATGTCATCCGATAACGATTCAACAATCGTTTAATAATCGATAACTCGACCCTATCTTCACGATGCTAAATATCGATCGATGTCATCCGATGACGATTCAACAATCGACCCACAGGTGCTGGAGAGCAATCCGCAAATTCCATTGCAGCGCTCGGCTAGTATAATTATGACATTGCTCGCCGTAACGCATTCCCATATGTGACTTTCATTTGCACTCGTTTCTACTGCATACATATGATACCATTTCCATCGGCGCAAAATTTTATTAAATGTTAAGCAATTGATGCAATATTGCTGCAAGCAATAGAGAATATGCGAGCAATATTGCTGTGGATAACCAGACAATATTGAATACCTGTCAACATTAAAAAATATTGTTTGTAACTGGGTAGTGTCCTACTTATGTTAGCCCAGGTTTCTTTAAAATTTTTGAATTCAGATATCGATGGCCAAATTGCAAAACCACGTATCAGTGTTTCAAAATGTTCGTTCCTATTTTATTTTTTCGAAGAGGAACATATCTGTCGGCTTTAACGCTTGAAATTTTTACAGAATATTCCGCCAAGAGCAAAGGAAAACCAAGGAAGTTTTCGAGAAATAACGTTGGCTGGTTTTCCAATAAAAAAAAAAAAAAAAAAAAAAAAAAAAAAAAGAAGTATGGAGGAAATCTGCAGCGTCACAAACGAAGTTACGCGGTTTCACACTCTAGACATTAGCTGTGTACCTGCGTCGTTTCGATGTGTAGGTACACGTATAAAGATTATGATTCTATCGGATTATGATTTTAAAGTTCCTTTTTGGACAGGGGTCCATTGATAACAATTGATGAGAAAACGCATATTATATTGGGTCGAAAGTATGAATTGAACGGGACCTGTTATTTCCTCCATCTGGAAGAAGTCTGAAGAAACGACGATGAGTACTAAGACTTCTTAGTCATTTCGCATCTCAAAGAAAGTGAAACAAAATTTTCATAACGCGGTAGGATGTCACTCTTGACATCTTGTAGCTTTCTCTACGCTCTTTTGAACGGAACTTGATTTTGATAGTAACATGAAATATTTTATAGTAAGAATACTCAGTTCATTTAAAATCATAGGTTGGCAATGGCTACCCTATTAGGACTCAAAGTATCCGCAGAGACTATCGGTGAGGACCTGATGGATTTTCGGATTTTCAGATTTTCAGACACGGCCAGACTCTCTTCAAGCTGCGTCAGTCAACTCCAGCCATGGAGCCCCATGTAAGATCTCCCAGTTGCAAGAGACAATCAGACTCCATTCAAAAGGATACCTCAATTTTTATGCCGAATTTGGCAACGGTGTGCGGGCTCTCATCCACCAAAAAGATAGAGCCGTCAAAAATTCGAGCATTCTACGACTGAGGAAAACCACGGATTCCGGAGTGAGATCCGTGCGAAACTTGAAATTCGGTCTCAATCATGACAGTCGCGCGCGAAAAATTAGCGCGTTTCCACGTTCGCTTGATTTTTGGACGTTCCTCGTGGTGCGGTGGGGGGGGGGGGGATGGTTTTGTGTAAACCTCTCTCCGTCTCCGTCCGCTCTCCTCTGGACCTAATTGACTCGGAGGAAAGAGAAAAGAGACGTGTCCGTCCTCCGACCCAGTCTGAAGGTCGGAGGATCACATTAGACACGCGACAGAACGGCAAAATATCCACTTGAGTATTGAAGTTAGGCAATTTGCAATGCAATGAAAAATAACAGCTTATTTCAATTTCATTGAAAGAAACAGTAAGAATGGTCCCTTCAATCAGTTGATAGGCAACGGCAACATGCAGAACACTCTTATGCTCTTGCAATACGTTTATAATGTAATTGCAATTAATTGAAATTTTGTGCTACTCGGGGATAGGGGTTCTCCTCGGAGGAATCGAAGAGGTGTTCAGATAAAGGAAGGAGACAGGAGATTTTACAAGGAAGACATAAGGGAGTGCCGACTTCCTAGAAAGCTTCTGGAAAATAAGGGACCGTGGTAGTTAGACGTCCTAGAGCGCCAGAGAGCCCTGTGAAAGCGGCTTTTTTATGGATAAAATAAATGTACCTTGTTTATTACAATCGCAGGTGGCCGCAAGCAGACGGGCTTGCTTCTTGAGGTGAGGATCACTGCTGGCCAGAAACTTGATGTCGCTCTGGCTGTGCGGGGAAACTCGACCACCGGACACCAACAACCCACACGCCTGCAAGCAAAAATGCATTCATTTTTCAAGAGACAGCACACAAATAAAAAGTAAAAGTTAAATACCTACATACAATTTTGGTTCGAAAGAATGTCCAAAATTTTATCGGGCCATATCAATGCCTCGGCGAGTAAAGTTTGGGCCTGAGCGGATGGCCAAATTAAAATTTAAACTCCTTTCTTGAACCAGTCATTCCTCTTTACTTTAAAAATTGAGATTCCTTGGAAAGAACCTAGGAAAAGTATGTTAAAATGAGTTTGAATGCATTGTTTCCCGAGGTTTTCATGCAATACCTTTAATGAGTTTAGCTGCCTTTTTGGTCCACGAGGCCTCCTTCAAATGAAATATCCTATCTCAGAAGGAAATATGTACCTACATTTTGAAGCCCTCCCCCCTCCCCAAATTGTGCAATCATGATCGGAAGTCATTTCGATTTGCTCTGTGATGACTGGTGATCAAACTGGTAAGCGATTAGTTGGGCGAACCTAATCTAATTTGCAAAAACTCGCCCAGCAAATTGTCCACCCTAACATTCACCAGTAAGGCAGGTTATACACTCAACAACCTATCATATCAGGCGAAAAATACAGTTGGCCTCTAAATTTAACAGTTTACCTCACTCAAATACATTCCCTAGATTGTAAGTGGGAGGTCTTTTTAATTCGTTGTCTTTGTCCATACTCTGCCAATGAAGGTACTCGATGTATTTTCATAGTTAGCGATTATGATGACTCGCGTAGCTAGCCCACAACAGTTTGTTCACCCTATGAGCCGGGGATTATCTCATGTGATACGGACAAAATGCGACGCGCAACGCAGGATAATCACGTGTGACTGCGACTCCAGGCGGAAAACCCGCAGAACAAGCTCCGGTAAACCACGGGGCGTCGGTGGGAAGGTGCGTTTTTTTGTGCGCGCCGGGCAATTCGCCACACCGCGAAAGCCGTGTCATGTGCAACAAAGCTATGCAGTGGGTAAACTATGGCACTGTGTTAAATCGCCGCTGATCAGTTACGAAACCTACGCCTTCCTCGGCGCTGTTAATTTGCATTCCGGCAACTGGGATAGACCCAGTGAAGATTAATGTCGAAAGATCCGTAATCCGCGGTGAATAGCTCGCAGCTCGCGTGGAAACGCGCCCGTGTGCCTGTGCGTGGGCGCCTGGTTGCCGTGCGTTATGATTGCGGTACCGAGTGACAATTTTCCTCAAAATTTTCTTGGGAATACCTCGGATGAGTTCGTTGCGTTGGGCAGTCGGAGAGTCGTTATTTTGGTTCTTACGCAGTTAGCATGGATCGTGGACGGCAATATACACTGCGATAAAATAAAATAATGGAGAATTTGCAGGTATCGGAAATTTTGCGAATTTCATGTTTAAGAGGAAACTCTCAGTGAACTCGCGCGGCATGAGAATATCCTTGATTTCTAAAATGAACGATTGTTAGATGAAATATGACCAAATGACCTAATCTGCCAAAATACATGAGTTCAAGTGAGAAATGTCAGCTGATGGCGGCAGATTTTTTCATTTTTAAATAACGTCCCATATCCAATACAAAAAATTATGAAAAATACTGCAAATGCAGCTCATTGAGTAGTGAGTACTCGCAGATGCAACAATAACAAAAATTTCGTGCGAATTCTCCAATGGCTCTCATATAGTCAGAATTGCAAATTGACTATTCACCCTTATGAAGGGGCTAAAATAATCGCATGAAATTCAGGTTAAGATACACCATATAGGCGCGCATTACCGTTTTTCGTCCACTAACTATGAGATGTTGCCGCAGAATCAATTTTTGAAATTTTCGGGTATCCCTTGAGCTAAATATATTATGCAGAATTAACTCTTCTAAGCCGTGGTATATAGTTGCGACTCATTCCCTCCTTCCCCTACACCCACCTCCTTTAAATCGCATTTTCGTCATAAT